CAGAAAGGACAATTTTGGAAGTCAGGTGGACATAGCAGCAATACTGGCTCGTCGCTGTTAACCTGTGACCCGCGAAGTGTGCCACCATTCATGAAGTGGCCCTCCATCAAAAATAATTGCCCACCCCTGGGTTAAGGCATCATACTTAAGAACTTTATTCATCGCACTCAAGGGGTTGTCATCATACTCAAGTGGATAAGTCGTCGTACTCAAGGGGTTGTCATCATTCTCAAGGGGTTAATGCAAATAAAAATGCAAACTCAACACAATGCACATCATAGCTTGGAGAAATTGCAGCTCACTTGTACTTGAAAAAAAGTCCAATTATGCACAGTTGTTAGAAAGAATTAGCTTAATGATTTGCAGTGATACTCTGTACTGTACATTAAAATAGTGAAGGTATTTGTAAATATTTTATAAGTAATTTTTATACAAAATACAGTAGAGTTTGTAATTAAATTTAACAAAATATTCTTTAACAATCTAATTAAAAAGACCAATTGTTGACCAATCAACAAATCGGACATCGCGCAATTACAGTAACTATCACACACAGGACGACAGTATTGTCTCAAATGATGACGATTCAGACATCGAGCAATGAATTACCATATGCTGGACAAGAGAATTGTCCTAAGTGTTGTACAGTTGAACGAACTAGCCCGAAAAGGAAGGAAACTTTTGTTCAATTATAATTTCATAATAAAATTTAATTTTCAAATGATAAACGGACAGCAGGGCGATAATTTATGAGGACTGCCTGTAAGTCTATACTGTATGATATAGTATATTATAATAATGCATTATACCCTTTATATTGTTGTCATAAATTTACTGAAACAGCAGTTAAACTGTAATAACCTTAAGATGCATCACAAGATCTAATTAAATAATTATGTTTGATTTTTTGTATTACACACCATGTTGTTGGTTAAGCAGATTAGATGAAATAAAGTTTCCACACTAATATGCCCAGACAAATTTAATTACAGTAGTTAAAAAAATACTGTACTGTAGTTCAATTTATTTTTTTTACTTTTCAGAATTATGTTTAGTTCTACTGTACTAACAAAATATTTAATTATATTTTCTATTCAATTACAGTACAGCATGCCCTGATAATTTGCGGATGACACCCTGGATATACCCAAGAATGTTGCTGGCATTTTTGCGGCCGGGACAGGGAGCCATTTGCTCTAGAGACAGTAATTTCTTTTACCTGTATTGTATACTGTATGTGTATGTGTGTGTGTGTGTGGACACGCACACACACATATATACAATACAAATAAAAGAAATAATTGTCCTAAGGGCAAACACAGAGGGAATATATATTTCTTTGCACACGAGTAAAAATGTAACCCCCCGCCCCCATCAGCAAATGTTATTCGTGGCCATTTTGAGTACCTAACCCCCGCAAATTTTAAGGGCATGCTGTACACTTTATTTGAAAATGCTCCATTCAAGGGATGCAACAGAAAAAGGCTTGTGTTGGACACTAACTCCAAAATTTCTTATTTTTCAAAGTCTTAATATATTTTATTCAATGTACCAACAATAACAGGAAACATTGGGAACAATATTGTGACATAAGTATCAGCCTTAAAATTGTAAACAAACTTGAAATTAAAGTCCTCTGAATATTGTTGGCATTTATGGTGACTGTAAGCTGGATGAAACAAGTAGGTAAGTTTCCACTGAGATAACTGGTCCAAACTGTTCTCTGGACAACAATAACTGATATCAAAGTTAAATCATTTTCCTCTGGAGAACAAAAGTACAGTACTGTATATCATAATTGTCTCCCTTTGGCAACTTCTTTACCGTATTAGTGCTTCAGTGGAGTCAATGACAACTGGCTTAAGAACAAACTCAACTTATTAGAGAATAAAAAATTCAAGTAAAACCAAATTTTATTTTTCTTAATATTTCTCAGGCAACTTTACATCTTTTAATTTGGATTGAGATTTCTCATGTATAATAAATCCCAAAGTACTAACACACATGCTCTACTTAATAGGATTCATTGCTTAATATTACTTTGTAAAACAGAATGCAGAACCTGCATTAGTGTATGCATAAACACTAACCTTGGATGAAAATATGACTCAAAATTACATTAATTTTGAAATCAATATCACCATTCTTAAATATGTGAGGACTCATAACCACTATATCATGCCCATCAATATTCTGAATACTAGTGAATATATTCTATATGGTACAGTACAGTATATAATTATCACAGGAAATAACTTTCAATGAAAACATAAAATGGATACAGTATTACATGGGCGATTCAACCAAAAAGTTAAGATTAAATTGCACATTACCTCCTCATGGATCCTTATTGCACACAAGCAAGAAATTTTATGAATGCTGTTTACTGAACTTTTAGAAATACTGTACAAGCTTTTTAATTTTACATTAAAAGTAGTAACAAGATACCCATGTAATTCTGCCATATCTAATTAACACAAGAATTATGGACTAATAATCACATTCACCTATAGTGATAAAAAAAAAATACTTAATGTTAACAGTACAATAGTAGTGTTACTGTACTAGTAATTTACCAGTATCACTATGTTACAATACCTGTACCACTGCCTCAACATTAAAAGCTTTTTACAGCAAAAAAAAAAAGTAAATTTATGTTGCGATTAATTAACAAAATCCCACTTATTATAGCAATGATTATTTACCCTCTCTTGTCTAGTTATTAATAAACATAAAATATCCAGCACTTACTTATCACATCATTAATAATTATTCCACATTTATTGTGTGTTTGCAATTACAGGTAATCACAAAAGGAAAAGGATCATAAGACAAATACTGTACTTATGAGCCACATCAAAGCACTGTTAATATTATACCTAAACTGTGTCAACTGGCAAAATAAATAATACTGCAAATAAAAACAAAAGAATATCCTGGTTTAGTCTCTTAATAATTATAAAGTCTACACTAAGATAAATTTATGATATAACAAAACTCAGCAAATATTGGAAAGAAGAGAACACCACATTTGGAGGTCTGTGTAATACTCCTACTTGTTCATTAATACAAATGCTTTTTCTGTGACATTTTCATTAGACAAAAAATATATATCCAAAATTTATCATTTTGGATGAACGTTTCTACAGATCAGACTATCATAATATACGTATATACATGTACAGTGAAACATAAAAATGATAAGAATACTGAAGATAAATTTACTTTAGATTCAAAGCAATGCAAGTCTAAATCTCCATTTCAAGTTAAATGCCAATTTTAATATTTGGAAAACATAATGGACTGGGGCTCCTTCCCTATGTCTTAAATATCAAAAGCTATTATAATAGAAAGTTATGCCAAGTAGAAAATTAACATATAAAAACTTTTTTTTGCCTATAACACACAATTATTTCAAAAATAAAAAAATTAACATTGTGTACATCCATTACAAGACACCTTTCAGAACGATGTATGCACTGTAAGCAACTTCCAGAGGGTTTCATTAAATACTGAGAGAACCAGAATAATATTAGTCACAAAGAGCTGCTGTTTCCCTAAAGTGACCTGTATACAGTAAACATTACCAATATTGACTTACCTCAAACGAGGATCTGCTGATGGTACCAAAGACACGAAAATTATCCAATATAATAGAACATATTGATAAAAATACACAGTAGATAAAAGATACTGCCTATTTATATTTTAAAAAAAGTGACAAGGGAACACTGACAATACTGCAAATGCCTTGTACCAATATGACACCTAACCTCAGCAAAATGGTTTCAAACAAGAATACCTCCGAAAGAAGAAAGAGATATAGAAAGCTTTAATTTGTCTTAAATACTGTACATGATTGTTAGCTAAGAATATGAGGTTACCAGTATTCTTATTAACTGTTAATGATGAAGATAATTTGTTAAAAAGTTTAATTAAATAAATGTAATTAAAACTAAATTGAACAAAATAATAAACTAACCTGAATTAGTGAGACCAAAACACACAAAAGGAATGTACTGTATGACATTACCATTAAGCAGTGGTGGGCACGGTTCCGTTAACCGCTAATAAGCGAAGCTAACTTTCTCGTTAGCGGATTGGCGTTTTCGCTAACTTTGGAAACCATTAGCGGACCAATTAGCTTCCGCTAAATTTAGTTCCGCTAACAAAATTTATACATGTTTGTTCCTGTCTGTTGTAAGCGTGTGACGCAGCGACGCGTGTCTCCAACAGCCAGTCAGGCACGCTTGGCTGACTGCGTTATATAAGTTATATAAAAATGCACTGGTATAATGTGTATGTGGTTGGTATTGCATATTTACATGAATAATGAATAAGGCCGATAGGTTGTATGAGAATGCAAATTAATTATTTGTGAAACTGTGTAGTGTACACCTTGATAAGTTGATCATCATCTGATCTTGGCATAATGATATTTGCTACCTATGCTATACAGTACTATAGTTTTTGGATTCGTTTAATACTTTCGGTCTTTTCGTACAGTAAATAAAGATTATAAAGTGTATGTTGAAACTTGAATGTAAACTAATGTTTAATTTCATTTGTTCATTTAATTATTTGTGTACACCTTGATCATCATCTGATCTTGGCATGCTATACCTTTTTGGAAAGCTCTATGTCTAAGCTACAAGACAACATATGAAAATTTCAGCTCTCTAGGTCTGGTTTTAAGGGTTTTAGAGCCCCCCCAAAAAAGAGGCTAAATTCATATAATAAAAGTTAGTGGTTAGTGTTAGCTTCCGCTAATTTTTTTAGCTGTTTAGCGGTTTAGCGTAGTTACTTTTTAGTTAGCAGATTAGCGGTTAGCGAAGCTAACTTTTCGTTTAGCTGTCCCCACTACTGCCATTAAGTTAACTATTTCTCATGAAAAATTATATACAGTATGAGCATAAGCTTTTTTGTCTCTATTGACAATCATATGTTCCATGTAGTGATCAATTAAAATACAGAAATCCTTCTGAAAACTCTAAAGAGACTGAAAAAGAGAAAGCTTCAGATGAGGACACTAACTGGTGGTGATTTTCCTAAAAATTTATCTGCTAAAAAGATTCCTGTTATAAACATGACTGTAGGCACATACAAAGATGCACACATTCATGTACACACACACACAAATATTCAAAAAATAAAAACTAACACATTCTTCACTCATTGTGAATGAAAACACTAAAAGCCTTTATTACGGTATATATACTGTATATGAAATGAAATACAAACAAAAATATAGTTCAACGTACTCTTCCAAATGTTTCAATTATCTTTATAAGACTTGTGGCCCCTGCAGTAAAGGGTCAGAGGGGGCAGAGAAGCAGGCCACACCAGACAGACATCAAGCGATCACCAGTGGCTCATCATCCGAAAATCCACGGATCATGGGAGAGTCATCATCTTCATCTGAAATAAAAATATTTCTTGATCAAAGCCATTATTTTATGTACTGTAAATAAAGTAAAGGAAATGAAGAGAATAAAATACAATATTCCAATTAACTGAAAACATTCAATATGCTACATACATGAAATTAGGACTTTATTATTAAGTTTATCTCAGTCCTACTTCCATCACTGTAATGATTGTAAACTTAAATTGGCCCCTGAATAAAGACAAGTTAAACAATAAAAAACAAAACATCCACACACATGTACTGTGCTGTCTCTCCATTAAAAGGCACAAGTAAAGTAAAGTAAATTAAATTAAATCAAATCAAACCTTTACTTACTTTTATCACACAAGCCCAAACAACCATCAAAGACTCCAAAGCCAAAAGACTAGACATCTCCAGCACTCACCTGAAGCATCTTTAATCACTCTTGGACACAACCAAATACTGTACCATCGAAATGGAGGAAAGCCATCATTTTACACCCAACACCCCCCAAATAAATCACCATCAAACAGATCTACAGTATTTCATTCAAAAACATCAAATCACACATCAAACTCCCAACACAGCTTCTGCTCCCGACACTCTACCCTCCCTAACACCATTCTGTACCCCAACAGAAACTCAGCAGCAACATTATTAACACAACAATACATAAAAATAATATAAACATTATTTCCAAACAAAAGTTCTTATGCGGTTCCAGAATCTTCTCAAAATGACATCCCCCATTGATCACTAATCTCTCCTCTCTTCCAATTTTTTTTCTGTAAGACCTCCCTCCCCCACTATCCTAAATACAGGAGAATCCCAGTTATCCGGCACCTAAGGGGATTGAGAAGTGCCGGATAAAGAGATTTTCAGGTTAGTTGAATCTCAATCTTACCAATAGATAAATACCCTAAAATCTTTGTCATCATATTGTACACACATGACATTAACACAATACAGTCAACCCTCGCTTTACGCGGTCCCACATTCCGCATTTACGTGGTACCCTGCCGAAACCGGAATGCTCACATTCCGCGATGCGTGTACCCCTTTACTCGGAGAGTGTCTGGCTCGACGCTATTTTTAGATTCGCCCCTCCCGCCTGCTCCCGCCTCCGCCTGGGCAAGCCGCGCGGTAAGGTTGCGCAGTGCATGTCTCTGTTGCGTTATCAGTGATGTCATATGACGTATCGGACTGTGATTGGCCATGCATCCCTACCTCCCTCCGCTGCTAGCTGTAATTGGTTTAAAGTAATATGATGTGTCCACCCGGGGGAGGGAGGGAGGGAGGGAGGAAAGACGACGCTTGACCTAGCCGCGGCAGTTTCATCCCTCCAGGCCACACCGTGTAATCATGCATCCATTGTTCTGTAAAATGGCTTCCGCCGGACCACCGCCCCCAGAGAGAAACCTTTCCTTACCTGGACCCAGCCGCCCTAAGCCAAAGAAGACACGACGTTCCTTAAGCTACGAGGTGAAGTACAAGATCATCCAAGAGTTGGAGAAAGGAACAAGACAGGTTGATTTGGAGCGCCAGCATGGTGTGAACGAATCTACGATCCGGACGATAAAGAAGGATGCAGCCAAGATAAAGGAGCACATGAACATCACAAAGTCTACAGGTGCTTCTATGATCAAGTATTTCCACAACCAGGTGCTTCTCAAGACGGAAAAATTACTTGTGAGCTACTTGGTGCGTCAGGCGCGACGGAACATGGCGGTGGACACGCGCTCTGTTAAGGAGTATGCACGTGAACTGTATGCTGCAGTGTCACGAAAGATGGGAATTACAGAGCCCAAACCCTTTAATGCTTCCTCTGGGTGGTTACAGAGGTTTAAGAAGAGGAACAAGATCACCAATATCAACATCGGTGGTGAAGAAGCTAGTGCTGACCGTGTTGCAGCTAGGGAATTTCCTCCGTTTTTACGTGAGATTATGGAGGAAGGACAGTACACCGACGACCAGGTGTTTAACAGTGGACGAATCTGGTCTTTTTTGGAAAAAGCTACCTTCCAAGACCTTCGTTGTGAAGAATGCCAGCAAGATTCGGGGCCGGAAGTTGCAGAAGGAGCGCATCACCGTCCTGTTTACCACCAATGCCTCCGGTACCTGTAAGCTCAAGTTATCGGTGATCCACACAGCTAAATGTCCACTGGCTGACCGCACGTAGGGCGTGGATGTTCTCTACACTGTCCCTCTCCTGGTTTGATGACTGTTTCGTTCCCGATGTGAAGAAATTCTGTGAGCAACAGAATGTGCCATTCAAGATTTTGTTGCTGCTGGACAACGCAACAGGACACTCGCCCCTACTGTTAGATCGTCACCCCAAAGTAAAAGTGGTCTGTCTTCCTTCCTCCCAACACTACGTCTATATTACAGCCCATGGACCAAGAGTTAATCTGTAATGTAAAAGCTGCATTCTCTACTAAAAAATTAAAGCTCCTGAACGACTACACCAACACCAGGGAAGAGTTGCGTAACCTGAGTGACGCCACCACCAATAGCAAGAGCGAAGAAGACGAGGATCAACAGTTGGCAGAGCAACAAGTACTTTTAAAACAATTCTGGAGAATATTCAACATCAAGAAAGCTGTGGACTTCTTGGTGGAGGCATGGGATCAGCTGTCTGTAGCAACTGTTCGTCACGCATGGAGACATGTGTTGCAAGGCATTCCGGCCGTTAGGCAGAGTCAATCTGTGACTGGTGAGGTTCAGACTGTTGCAGTAGCAGTGGACCTTGCCAGAGAAGCTGCGCAGAGTGTTACAGCTGCAGGCTTCTCCGAGACCACCAACGACGACATCCTGGAGGTGATAAGGGATCCTGATGTGACTACCGACGAGATGGTAGATGATGATGACGTCAGTGAAGAGGCAGGTGGTGCGTCATCCCAAGAAGAACGCCGCTTATCCCATAGTAATGTAAGGGGTGCCATCGAGTGTATTGAGAAAGTCAAGCTCCTCCTTTCCGACGACCCTGACGCAAACAGGTATGAAATCTTCACTACCCAGCTGTTGCAGACTATGGAGCCCTACATCAAGGTTTATCACGACAACATAAACACCAGCCGTCAGCAAAGCATAACAGAGTTCTTCGCCCGCAACCCACCACAGCCAGCCCAAGCCAGTGATAGTGACAGAGGTAGAGACAGTGATGATGACTTTGAGGGATTTGTCAGGGAGGCCCTGACAAGTGTGGATGACAGTGATGGTGACTCACCTGAGGGGCAGTAGCCTGCCCTCTGCCTCGGAACCAGCCTCCATTCCCGTACGCCGACCCATCTCTTCTATTAACGTAAGTGTTAACCCCAACCTTTATTTTTCCTAACCTAACCTCTTCTATATTAATTGTGTGCATACCATCATAAAGTTAAGATAATATTTTTACAACAACATCGTTGTGTGTCGTCAAAAAGTGGAGTTTGGGGATCGGCCCGGTCTCTATTTCAATTAATCCCATATGTTATGTTGTTCACTTTACACGTTTCTCACTTTACGCGGGCCGCCGTGGGTTGAATTAACCGCGTAAAGTGAGGGTTGACTGTATACAAATAACATCAAAGTCACATGCAAGCCTTGCAAGGTCAATACACTTAAAGCACTCACAAACACCACCTTTGGACAACAAAAAGAACTACTAATAACAGATCATAAACAATTCAACCTCACAAAATATCCTCGCCCAAGCTGGGCCGTAATGACAGCATATAGAACCTCTAAAATTCAAACTAAACCCATTGGAACAATAATTATCTGTACTTAAAAAAATAAATTACTCCTAGCTCAATGACTTGGTATTACTTGTATACTCAACTCATCTCTCCAATTTCATAAAGAACCTCCCCACACCCTCTAGACACAAAAGGTACACCATAGCACTAAAGTATTTCCATACATTAAACAGTAATCCACCAACACCTACCAACACAACTATCCACAAATACTTACACAGGAGCATACTGAACATGTCTATGTCACTTATTCACATTTCAGAATTCACTTTCCTTAGATATGAGAATATATCTAATTAGCTTATGGTGTGGTCACCTACCTTCCTAAAATTCAAGTTATTCACATTGCAGAGCAATCCAACACACAATCCATCAACTCAAAACATGCCCAACACTTAGCCAACACAGAAAATCCCTCAACAAAGCATCCACAAAAGATCTCTGGTAGAAACCAGAGGTTGTCAGTGAGTACCTGAGGCTCATCATCTTCGTATCCATGTGAAGTAGGGTCTACAACAACAAAAACAACAAATCACATTAATAAATTTATCATGCACAAGTAATATACTCACCTTCCTTATCACAATGAGTAAATCTACCTTTAGATACTTAAGTGAGACAAACATTACAGTGTTTATTCACTTCAATCTATCCACTCAAAAAATATAAACATACTGTACAATCAACCAAATGTTCAATCATAGGTAATATTTATACACTGGATTTAAAACAGCACAAGGGTTGCTTTGAAAATGAAAAGTCACAAAGGTTAGTGACCACTCTAATACTTCCCCATCTGAGATCTCTCTGGGAAAAACATCCTTACTGGTTTCAGTAAAATCAGATTTAAAACCAGATTTCAAAAACAATTATCTACTGTCACAGACAGCTGTAATCTCATCACACAACTTTCATTATATTTATGGACAAAGATATATTCAGGCTCTTACCCAAATTATGGTCTGTAGTGATAAGAGTGGTGCCTTGTGAACGGTCATAGTGGGTGTTTGCAAAAGTGAGGAATGATCGTGCTAGACGCCGATGCCTCACTGCCAGTATGCCTACTACCACTATTAAGGCCACCACCACTAGGAAAACTGACACAGCAACACCCATTACGCTGCTCTGCGACAACACAATTTCATCACCTGTAAATATAAAGAATTTAAAGAGTACATATTACATTTCCACCCCATTCTTTTTACCGGTTATCCAGTATATTTTTCATTCCTTTAATCACAAGACTTGTTCCATGCACATCATATAAAGTTAGTTCAGTATAGAAAACCCTTGCCATTCGCGGGTTTGCGATTCAAGATTTCGACGATTTGAGTTAAGCAGATGGTGGCTAGCTAAAAAGCCTTTTTCCGCAGTGAAACGAGTCACCCCATGCACCGCAGCGTCCCTGTTTGCGCTCACCCAGTACCTGTGACCTAGCATCTCGTGTTGTACTCTCAAAACTTTTGTGTTTCTTTGTGAAAATAGCCCCTAAAAGACTGCCTAGTGTCAGTGCTAGTGATGCTAGTGAAGTAAAAGGTAAAAGTCAGTGATGACCCTGACAAAGAAAGTTGAATTATAAGACAAGTTAAAGGGGGGATGAGTGCTGTCACGGTTGGTCGGTTGTTTTGCGTGAACGAATCCAATGCTGTATATGAAGAAGAATGAAAAAGCAATTCATGATTCTGTTCAAGCGAGTGCTCCTGCAAGTGCTAAAGTGGTGCAGGTTGTTCGTAACAAGAACATAGTTAAAACAGAGAAAACATTGAACATTTGGATTGAGGATCAGCACCGCAAAAATGTTCTGATCGAAAGCAACGTGATTCGTGAGAAAGTTAAAAGTCTTTATGCTCATTTTTATGATTTAATTGGATTCTGAATTTTAAAAATTCACATTTAGAAAGTTTGACTTTGAGTCCTGCTGTAGAAAGTTTTTAAGAACTTCATGGAGCTTAGCAATATGCGTATCTACATCCTTACTGACTACGATGAGATCATCTAAGTAGGCACTACTGTGGTCCCTATCCAGGTGATGAAGGGGCTAGTGTGGCTACTGAACCAACTTTAAGTGCCAGTAAAGGGTGGTTAAAGAATTTAAAAAAGATTCTCTCTTCATAATGTGAAGCTGACTGGGGAAGCCGCATCAACTAACTACACAGCTGCAGATGCATTTCCTGCCAAGTTAAATAAAATAGTAGAAGAGAAAGGGTATAGACCAGAGCAAGTGTTTAATGCCAATGAATCTGGTCTATATTTAAAAAAAAAAAAAAAAAAGCCTGGTAGAATGTACATAAACAAGTAGGGGAGGCATGTCCCTGGGTTCAAGGCAGCCAAAGACAGTGACACTCATCTTCTGTGGCAGTGCAACTGGCCACATGATCAAACCTGGCTTGTTTTCCAGCTCAGCAAACCCTAAGGCTTTAAAGGGTAAAAACAAGAACCTTTTGCCAGTGTTTTAGCAGTCCAACAAAAAGGCATGGGTAACTGTGCAAGCATTCCTGGATTGGTTCCATAAATGCTTCGTCCCAGAAGTGGAAAAATACCTTGCTTCCAAGAAGATGGAATTCAAGGTGCTATTGTTGATAGATAATGCACTAGACCACCCAAAAAGTTTGCAGTTTAGCCATCCAGGCGCAGATGTGGTGTTCCTACCCCCTAACACCACTGCTCTTATTCAGCCTTTCGATCAGGGTGTAATACGCACCTCCAAGGAATATAACACCCGACGCACTTTTGGTTGTATCCGTAGTGCCATAGACGCAAACCCTGACCTTGATATTAGCAAGTGTACAGCACTGCGGACTGCATTACCAACATCAGTGAAGCATTCAATGAACTCAAACAGAGACAGAGAATGCTTGTTGGTGCACCTTATGGCCTGAGTGTGTGAATAACTTCCAGGGATTTCCGTCCATAATAAGACATTGTGAGTGTTGCACGTCAATTGGGTGGTGAGGGGTTTGTGGACATGGCTGCTGCAGATGTGGAAGAGCTGATTGATGGGCATGGAGAGAAACTGACAGAAGAGGATTTGGAAGAGTTGGTAAAAAATGCCGAGGAAAATAAAGATGAAGAAATTATGGAACTGCAACAAGAAGGTTGGAGCGTGGACAGATTTGGTGAACTATTTCGACAGGTGTAGATGGTAGCTGATTTCAATGTTGACCACGACCCTTCCATAGAACGGAGCCTTAAGATTGTCCGAGGAATCAACCAGGTATTGTTTCCCTACCAGGAAATGTTTAAAGACCTCAAAGCAAAGAAGAAACAACTACCAATCACGATGTTTTTCAAGAAAGAACCAGCTACTACTGCCGCTGCTCCACCCTCCTCCTCGCGGCCACCTCCCGATTGCACGCCTCTCCACCACCCGCCTCTCCACCAACCACCACTGCATCACCCTCTTCTAACAGTGATCCTGATGATTCCTCTTTGCTTCAGTAACCATATGTCTCTCTATGTACAGTGCACCACTTCATCAAGCTCCAAACTTCCACATACAAATGTAAGTACTGTATAGTATTGGTGACTTAAGTTTTTCATACACAGTACAAGTATATATGAGTACACTAAGGTAATATATATAAATTGCTATTCGTGGTTTTGCCAATTCGCGCCATTTCTTGGAACCTAACCTTTGTGAATGGCAAGGGTGTACTGTATGTAATATTGATTTTACAATTCTTTAATCTTAAAATACTAAAGCTGCAGAAACAAATTAATTAGATCTTACCAATGTGTTTCTCAAATCGCATAGACTGTGATTGTGGTGAGAGATAGCCGTCAGCATCCTTGAAAGCAACAGTAGCATAATAGATAACTCCTATGGAAAGATCATTCACCACAATTGGGGGAGTGTCACACTCATAAGTGGTTGCATCACTCATGTTTTTGTTCTTGGATATATACAAAATGTAGCTATACCTGGTAGTAAGGAGAGAGAAAAACATTAAGTCAATATTTAGGCCAAAAAATACTAATCAAATTATTCCTCTGATGTTCTTTACAACAATAAACTACATTAGATACAATAAGGCTCTCTAACTGGAATAAATTTAATGATGAAGTTGCAATTACTGTTCAATGTCTCATGTTAACCAACAATGATACATAGCCTGAAGGATCTTGATACATTTATGTTTCATCAACTAAAACTTACAATGTTTCTGTTTCATCAACTAACATTAACAGATTTTCATCTATCATCAACTAATATCTACAGTAAATGATTTACCCACTACCTATGTCATCAACTAACACCAAATAATCAGTAAGTTTATCCGTTCCATCAAATAACATCGAACTCAGCCTCTATCATTTACACCTTCAAGGTGTATCTATTTCATCAATTAGCAAACAATACATCTATCTATCTTAACACACTCCAGCTATGATGCAGGGTGGCTATGCCATGATTTTAAGGGAAAATTCAAACAAATTTCCAAGACATTATAACCATACAATTTGATGATAATACAGTAGAATATATCATAAATGGTTTTCCTCAATACTGTGATAAAATTATTTTTAAAAAAATATGTGAAATAACCATAACATTCATAATCATTATACTTTTACTGTTAGCAGCCTATGTTACCATCAAAACAAGCTCAAATCAAAACCACTGAAACTGAAGTACTGGGGGCCCCCCAAGTTCGCAGATTTTTATTTCGTGGTCCTCTATTCTTCGCGGATGACACCCTGGATGTATCTAAGAATGTCTGTGGGTAGTTTTAAAGTTGCCGGCATTTTTGAGGCTGGGACAGGGAGCCATTCGTTCTAGAGACAGTAATTTCCTTTACCTGTATTGTAAATGTGTGTGTGCGCGTGCGTGCGTGCGTGCGTGCGTGCGTGCGTGCGTGCGTGCGTGCGTGCGTGCGTGCGTGTGTGGACAAACTCACACAAAACACATACAAATAAATAATAATTGGAAAATATTCTCACAAATAATCAGACACAAATTTATTAAAAATGTGAGTCTACCCTCAAGTCTGTGCTTTATTACTTTATTAATAAAGCATGGGCTTGAGGGTAGACTGTCACATTTTTAATAAATTTGCTTCAGATTATTTGAGAGAGTATTTTCCCATTATTTATTTGTACAGTATGTGTTTTGTGTGAGTGTGTCTACACACACACACAAATACAATACCTGTACAAGTAAAAGAAATAATTGTCCTAAGGGCAAACACATAAAGGGAATATACATTTATTCTCATTATAAAATTTTATTTTTAAATTAATGTAAATTGATGGCAACACTAATTGCACAGTAAACTTGTCTGCAGGTATGACCAGGGAATCTGCCTCCTCTTGAGAAAAGATGTATTCTTTCTCAGTTTCAATTTCAATAATCTAGTGTCTGTTGCACTATTTGTTGACAGCTTTTTTTTCTTGTTGACAGCTTTTTTTTCTGTTTTACGGGTATTATTCACTAAACATTTGAAAGTCCCCTGTCTCAAGGGCAATTATTATAATTTCAAGTCTTTCTATAATTGGATTCCTGATGTGTGTGTACCCTAATCCTTTGCACTCAGCAGCTACTGGGTTAACCCACCCCCTCAGAAGGATGTTAAAATACTTATTGGTTATTCCATCATTGGAGCACATCTGAGAGTATATGATTTTTATTTCTGAGCATGCAAAGGCTTGTGCCATAAGAGAAAAACCAGTCCTCCAACAAACTTCATTTCATGATGCATATTTCTGTCTATCGTCCACTTTTAAACTCATTAGTTTTCTACTAGATACAATCCCTTGATAATTTTCTTGTAGTACAGTATACTGTTAATTCAAGTACCATATATCAACTTGAGTTCCATACAAAGTCTAGCCCTTTGTATTTAGTGATAACCAACAAAAGTGCTATCATGAAATCTTCCAAGTACTTGTACTGTACATATGCTTATCTCCCCCTAAAAAGTTCAAATAATTTTACACTATATCACACTACTGGGCAACTTCACTCACATATTCCCAGGCCAATCTATATCTCTTCCCTTCAACCTTTTACTGTATTACAACAAGTCCCCTTGACCAACCAAAAATCCACATTAATAAAATTAACTATTACCTCTGATATCTAATTTGCAAGATGATAAAAGACTTACACATATTAACAAGAAAACTACTAAAAATACACTTACTTTTGATTCAAAAGGTCATGTGGAAAGTAACGATTGTTTCTCCAGAAGAATGATCCATCACTTGGATTAAAGGTCAGTTCATATGGTGTTGGAATAACTGGACCCTGACACTCAAATGGCTTACTCTGCCGAGCACCTTCCAATGATGTGCTAACATAAATGGAGTACAATCCACCCCAGTGAGCATCAACTTGATGACTCTGTGTGTGGTTATTACGACTCATCAACTTATAACTTGACGTCTCATTCCTAATGACTTCAGTGATGGTGAGCTGTTTAAGGAAGAAATCAGTTTAGTATTGAAGACATTGCTTTTTATGTTCCTGCATGTAGTAACTTTACTATATAAATAAGTCTATATTAAGTTTGCCTTAGATCACAACTAAAAACAAACAAAACATTTATTTTTATTATCTGTTGTTCACTTTATGGAGTCATGACAAATAACTTTCAGAGAAACTAAAAGGAACATTTCTCCCTCCTCCTTATAAACAATAATAAGATAGGACAACATTTAAAGAAAGAAAACTGTTCATGGGAACTATATTGTATAAAAATTTAATACCCGTATCCATATCTAAGTAAAATATAATAATCTGATATAACTCTTAACCTATAAACAGGGAAATATTACACTGTGGCTTGGAGCTAATGTACTGCACTTTGTTTTAGCAATTTCCTTAGTACAGTAATAAGGAATCAAGCAAGTACTGTACAGGGAGTCCTCGTTATACGTTGTACCGATATACTTCACTAACATCATTTACAGATTAGTGGAAAAAGGTGAAAAATATGGTTCAAGAGTTAATACTGTTAAGACATAAGTATTCATCTAATAATCTATAAGACCTAATGGAAAGTGAGATTAACTTCGTTTTGAGAAAAAGGCTGCTGAAAGGCTTGATATGGCAAGGAATAATGTATGGGTTAGAGGAGTGGAAACTTTTAACAGACACCAGAAAGAGTTGGAGGCCTTTGAAATGTAATGTTATAGACAGATGCTAAGATTAGGCTACACTGATAGGAATACAAATGATGTACTTAGATTATCAAAACATCAAAAGAAATGCTTGAAATGTACAGAAAAAGAAAAATGAGATAATGTAGCTGTACTTTAAATAAACTACCCTGTATTTCTTGTCTTTTGTTTTTTATGGTTCCTGCATGTATATCCTAGTGCCAATACCTTATAATTGGGTAACAAGACTAATATATTATGCTACAATAGTTTATTTAGGTGATTTGGTACTGCAACATATTCTTTGGTCTGGTCATGAGGGTGCCAGACAGGAGAAGTTCAACCAGTATATCATTGATATTGAATTAAATCTAAGATTAAAACTTACCATATAATAATGAGTACTGTTACTATTTTCTGCCAGAGGACAAGATGGTTCCCATGTAATCAGCATTGTCTTGTTGACTAGGCTTACATGCAAATTCCTTGGTGGGGCAAGTGGGTCTTCTCCTGTGAGTACCTGTGTAATTATTAGGAGAAAAAAGATACCATAATATATACATATATACTGTGTATCAAAATGAAATTATTTTACAAAAATAATTCAATTATGTACAGAATAAAAGTATATAATACAAAATTTACCTGCTTTAACTTAATTGGGCCAATGCCAATGGGTCCTCCTACCATCACAGCTATGAAGTAGGTCTCGCAGGCCTCTAGTCCTTCAACCACAAGTGTTGTGTTTGATGTATGAGCAACATCGGTACCAAGCTCGAGGTCATTATGACTCTTACCCCAAACAATGCGATATGACCATACAACCTGATAAGAAGAAAAGAGAAAGATTATGACCACCATATACAGGTACTTCAAAAGATCTGAAAAAAAGATTGCATAAAAATATAAGCAATACTGGACTGAATTTTAAACAAACATGGATAAAGTAGCCAAGGGTTATTTGTATGATAGAGACTGTAAAGCCTTTGTGAAGTAAATAATCATGATAAAGAAAAAACACAATTCAATACAAAATAAGGAGTTAGGCACCAAAAACCCCCAAAATTCACCAAACAAACCTAAAAGGTTTTTTTTTTACTTACTAAGCACCAGCAAGAAATATACAGCATTCTAGTTCAACATGGAAAAATAATGAGAACTGTACAAAAACAAAGTATATTATACAAGAAAATATATCATAGAATATACCAGTCTGCTACCTCCAACTCACCAAGCATCCCACATATTCGGCATGTGAAAACTTCACCAAACAATGCTTAAAAAGTTTATCTATTTATGAAATACAGTTACTGTAAGAAATTTAAAATATTCTGGTAAACCACGGAAAAATAAAGAAACTGTACAAAAATGAAGAAAATTGCATGAAATTAAGAACCTAAAGCCCTTATTTATGTTAGTACCTACTAATGCTTTACTCTTGTTAATTCCTACCTTTTTCCCTTTGTAAGGTGGCTCATTCCATGAGAGCTTTACAGTGGTTCCAATATCTTTCATGGGTACAGCCTGTAATGATTCCACTGGTAATAATGGCTGCCCTTCAGTTTTCACATTTATAGTCTGTGGAGGTCCAATCTTCTGATCTTTGTATGCTCTGATCTCAAAAGTATACTGCATCCCTGGTGCTAGATCTGATACTGTAAAGAAATCTAGCCATTAGACAAGGATACCGTTTTGAAATCCTGGACTCTAATTTAGATCTAAGGCCAATTAAACCTTCATTTCCCAATACTACATTTGAACCTAAAACCCTTAGACCCAATTAACCTATTCTATTCTTAACAAATATACACTGAGAAAATGAAAATGTTTTTGTTACAAAGTACAGTAATCTATTCAGTGTAAATTCCCCAAAAATGAATGTCCTAATAAGCTATACAGTACAGGGTAATATAAAATAAAATCGAACTTTAACTAAAATAATTACAGTAAAAACAGTACAGTACACATAGCCCTCGTTTATCCCAAATTCTCACATCTCTGTTTTGATTCAACAAAATTGCATCTCTGTGACCAAATTACCACAATGTTTCATTTTATTGCAAGACTATCGTAATAAATTAAAATATAATCAAATAAGCAAACTACTCCCACCAGGAGAAAAATCCACATGATTCTTCTTGATGCACTAAGTGGTATGGAAGAAAATTGTGGCCATTAATCGTTGAGTGTGTGTAAGCACCCAAGCCAAAATTTTCCGGAAAACACAGTTAAAGTTCTGCATTTTTCATATCGTTATAACTCTTGAACAAATGATATCATTGTCAATAACTTGTTTTCATTAAGCTTTCAATTTCCCAAATATGTTGGTGTTGTGGAAATTAAGGTTTGTCTGGGATATTTTATTTTATTTATTTTTTGCAAATATATTTATTAGTTAAAGGGCAGGCATGTACAAAGATGCATATGGGATTATACTGTAATACTTATCAATAATGTTTACCATAAACATGTTTTATACTGATAAAACAGTAGCACTCAGTCTCAATCACTAAAAGACCAACATAATTAAGGTAAGCGAGCAAGCAAAATTAATCCTGGTGCGGGCTATGGAGTAAAACATGGAACTGAACGAGATGGAAACGCTGGATGCTGATTGGCCCGCAAGACTTCTGCCAGGAGTTGCGGTTGACTGAGCAGTGCCAATTTTGCCATGGTAGTGCACTACGCTGTCTCTGACTGGTGGTGACACCAGCGAGCAGTGTGGTCTTAGCTCTTTCTACAGGGACGCCTTCATCCAAACACGTGTCTCAGAAATTTGGGGATGGTTACCCTGTTGTGTCTTAGGACTTTAGACCCTTTTGCCAGTTGAACAACAAGTTATCTTCAGTTGGAACGCCTAAAGGAAGGCCGGGGTAAGACAGTGATGGTGGCAACATGCGGTGGTGCTTATCCACTTCTGCCATGCACAGCCTTATATGTAAGCAATTTCTTTTCCCCAAATCATGCATAATGAGTGCAAAAAGTCCTGTCAGTGCTTCACTAACCACATCTTTTATCAAGAAACAAATAAAGATTGTCACCTTAGAGGTGAAACTAGACATTATTAAGGACATGAGCATTGAGCTGGAACAGCATTGACAAATGAGAATGTGTTCACACCTCTCAATTGAATAATTCTGTACTTCATATATATCTATGAATATTGCATAGTTTTTTATCAATTTGTTTTTGTACAAAAATCAGCCCAAGTACACCAAAAATTCCCAGCCAGGAACACAACCCTCCCTTAATGCAGTAATGGCAGTCCCCAAGTTTCAAACACCTGATTTACAAATTCCTGTACAGTACTTACAAACAGAATCCATTTATATTCATCACTAAAATTTGTAATTAAAATTTATTGTTTTTTACTTTACTTTAATTTGTTTAACATCACCTGATTTACAGTATTTACATGATCTGTTATGTGTGGGGTAATATTGTTGGTTTGTATAAGCAGGGTTGTGCTACTTTAACATAACTTAAGGAATTAACACTGTTCTGATTTATGAACAGGTCCAGGAATGTAACCCGGACATAACTTGGGGACTCCCTGTATTGTCAATTGTTTCTTATGGGAAACTTAATTTCACATACTGTATCACAATTAGAACATTGCAAGTGTTTTCGGTAATGGAATCCTAGCAATGAACGAGGACTACCTGCACTGAATCTTTTTTTTTGCAATATCAAAGCAAATCTGTGACATGGGTATGATACATATCAATTAACCTTGAGCTATTGTTGCTACTGATGCCAATTTAAGACATTAGAAACACATCTCTAGTTTAAATCTTATAACAATTATCACCATAAAAACAATACCATACTGATATTCTGTGCATGATATACTGTACATCAATTAAAACATAACTGTAAAATGTGCAAATCAATTACAGATTCTTTGGGCATTACTTGATAAGGTTGAAAACTCACTCTCAATATGGGTGTCCGTGGTTTTATTTGTAATCTTTCCTATCAGATACTTTTCTTCTTTACGTGAATGGCTAATCGTATAGCCATCTACTTCCGGTATGGGTTCCCATGATAATTTGAAACTTGTCTCCGTACTCTCGTTGGTCAGTATGTGAACTGGAGTGTCAACAGATGATGGAACAATTTCAACATGTTCACTTTCTTCACTCATGTATAGGTCATTTGATACAGTCACCTGAAAAAAGTTTAATAAATAAAATTACTTTTCTACCATTTCAATCACTTCCCAGTAATGATAGAGAGAGGATGGAACCATACAGAATCTCCGTGTTTTAGTATGGTGTTATCCTACCACAACAAGGTCCCTACAGACCCATCTGGTTTATCCCAATCCTATCATAATATAATCATAGTAAGCATAATAGGGATGTAATGAATGAAGGAAGAGGCTGGTAACGATCTGAGGTATAATAAGACTTTGGGTTTTAGTTACACTGAATGCAACAAAATTAAATGTTGCCCAGATGAGTTATGAAGCCATTATGCGAGTTCAAGGAAGTGTACATGGCAATATGCTGGTAGATTTGACTGGATATGGGCATTAAAACAGCAGGAAAGACTGGTGACATGATCAGTCAGTTTTATGTTTATAGGAGCAATATCTTAAACACACTAATGAACTTAAAGAAAAAATATCATAGTTCTATTATCAGTAGTTGCATAGAACAATATATAACTACTGTACAGTACTATTAGTAGCTAGATAGAACAATATGAAATATTCTTAGACAGACAGTGTGATACCCCATATAAAAACTGAGGTAGGTGAAGAGATTGATCATTCTAAAGATCAGGGTTGTTGAATTTTTATTATTTTTTTTAATAAAAAAATCTGATTCATTTGATTTAAATAGTATTTTATAAAAACTCTTTTATTTCAATCAAATTTGTACAAATATAAATCATATTTTTTACCTTCCTGCTTGACAACTGTTCCCAGTCATGTCTTTCTTTTTAAGTCTTTGAAATGCAGATACTGTTATGGTTACAAAGATACTTAATTAAATCGTAACTTCTTATTTGTAATGTGTGATGTAGCAGACTAAGAGACATTAGAATATGATTTTTATATATATATTATAGGTCATGTTGTATCTAAGTGTTGTGATTTAGTTGGTTTTGCTTTGTTTTCTATTTGCAAGTAATCCTAAAACAAATTATCAGTGCCTTTAATACTTAACTACAACCCCTACATGTTTGAAGTACTGTAGAAGTACAGGACTATAATACATGTAAGGTAAGAAAAGTGATGTAACTTATCTTAAACTTGTGTTTGTTGTTTCAGTTACAGAACAAATAGAATATTGTAATTTCTTTTGTAACAACACTAAATAGTGATCATTAAAAAAGTGTAGGTTTCTCTTGTATAATTATGTACGCTACTGTAATATAGGCATAAGATACTTTGCTTCTTTGGCTGATAAGTTTATAACAATACAACATATAAATAATTGTTTAATTTTTACTTCCTTCGTTTTACAATGATTTAAATCAAACAACCCTGCTCAAGTTCCTTAGAAAAGCTAGTCCTTGCAGTACTCACCCAAATACTGTCTGTTTTGTTAGTCCAATGTGGTGAGAGCTTTACAAAATAGACACCATCAGGAATATGTGAACGAACAGGAATCGGGCTAGACAAATATCTGAAAAGTAATATTAATTAATTTTGTAAAAATATCACAAATAATGAAGAAAACCTGACTTCAATATACTCTGTGATCAACACCAAAGTTGAAACAGTTTTGCTGATTGAAACCTTTTCTTTCAAATGGTTCACAAACTTTGATCACATCCAAATTACAAGGCCAAATATTTGTACAGGTAGTTCACATATTGAAAAGCTAAATCCATATCCCCTAATACATACTAAGCAGCTTAATGAAGTTTTGATCTACCGGTCGTTATTTTTTATAACAAAAAATATTGATAAACAGCTGCTCCTCGACTTACAACGGGGTTAGGGACCCAAATCCAGGTCGTAAGTCTAATTGGTCATAAGTCGAAAATGCGAAGATAATACATAGAAAATCTAAAATGGGTGTCTCTTTTTCTTCTCAGGGAATTACAAGCAAAAATTTTGCCAGTACACAGCGCAATCACTAACGTCGGGACTCGAAAATACGTATTTTGAAAAATTTTTGGTACGACTGGGGCAGTCGTATGTCCAGGTGGTCGTAAGTCGAGTAGGTCGTAAGTCAAAGAGTAGCTGTATTCCAAAACTGATAAAATTATCAATTCTGCAACAATACTGTATTGAAAGTCAGATAACTACTTTGTTCTAGACAAGTCAAGAACACAATATTGATTATTCAATTTTAATTTCTGTGATCTTGAAAAGCACATCAAAATCAGTAAGAGAAATAAAGCTAAATACTATACCCCAGTTGAGCAGCTTTAAGGTGAAGACATTACACCAAGCTTACTTCACTCTGGACAAAATACATCAAAAGTTCCCAATATAAAAAATTGTAACGTTGAAACAAACACCAAAGACCTCAAATTAGCTTTTGGGGATACACATTTGATACAAATTACCCCCACACTCATTATGATGCAAATCACTTAAGATCATTCGGTAGTACTACAGGGTGTTTGCACTGGTGACATAGCTCATGTTAGTTGTTGTCAATATGAGTGCTGCCAAGTGGCCACCTGATGCATTACAGTAGCAAGTTATGTTCTATGGTGATGCCACATGGTTGAGATCATGTAATTCAACAGTAATCAGTCAGCATTGGTGCTGTTACTAGTCTTTTTTCTTTTTCTTTATTTTACCTTACAGTGAGAGGACATCACTAATGTTCACATTGCACTCTGTTTTGGTGACTGTGAAGTGAGCAGTGTTCTTAATGATGTGGTGTGCGTTGTTTAATTGTTTTATGTATATTATTAGCACTGGAATATTTTTCTCTGGGTGTTGGACTGGCTGGTAACATATCCCATTGAACCTCATGTTATAATGATCCCTATCTATGATATTTCACATAGCAATGGGTTTAGGAACCTAACCCTATCATAAACAGGGGGATACCTGTACTGTATATTACTGTCGCCATAAATGGGAAGGTCATTCCTGTCTCCCAAATCATGTATAATGATGTCAATTTCCTCCTGTGTGGGACACTGCCATGGTTCATCAATTACTAATGAACAAGAGGCTTAGAATGCCTAGGGGCAGTTTCCAAAAGCCTCCACAAAGATGATCAGCAAATACAAAGGGTGTCAAATTTAAAATGGTCTCACCAAAAATATTTTGCAAAAATTGTGGGATATACCCAACACAGTGTGAATCTCCTTCCCGCAACTATTGCAGGATATTTCCACCAGGGGTTAATGGAAGGTGGGCAACGTATTCTAGATTTGATAGATAAACTGCAACCACAGAATCTTAATGTTTATATTTATATGCAATGAGATCTCTAATCTATTAGGTGTTTCATTTTAAAGAAACAGTTATTTATCTATACAGGGTGTGAGGGTTAGGACATTTTCAAAACTATACATAAATACAGTACAGTAAATTCTTTTATTTCCCAACCCTAACTCAAACCCACAATTTTATTCCAAATTTTGTCAACATTCTTGGTCTGTATCTTGTGAAATAACCCGAGGCTTCTATATAATGTATTAGTAACAGTAATCTAACTATGAACCTAATCTTGTCTACAGGTGTTGCAACTTCACCAAAGGCCGAGTGACTTTGATACAATTTATTCAAAACTTAAGACAAAAAGAGGAATAGATACAGAAATTCTGAGCCAGTGTTTATATCTATGTTCTTACCCTGAAAATTATGCATGGGTGGGAAAGAAAAATAAAAAATTTGTGAAATACAGAAGCAAGGATGTATCTACTCACACTCTATATTCCTTGATTACTCCATTAGGCTTATGGGGAGGACTCCATCTAACAATGAAAGAGTCCCCATCTTGTTCCACTTTTACATCTTCTGGAGGACTTGGTACTGTTGGGAGATGGGAAAAAAAAAAAAAAAACATGAAACAAATGAAGACAACAAGTGAAGAACATTCAACATAAAATGCCCTACAGTAAAATTAGAGCTATATGTAAGGCAAAAAATTTAATTATCCAAAAAATCATTCTCAGTTAATATTTTAACTGGCATTCTTCAAGTACCATTTACGAAGAACTTATCACCCGGTTTTGATTCTTCCCTTCCGCTTCTACTACAGATACTACTGTCTATTACATGAATGTACAGGGGGCCCCCCTAAATTCACAAATCTTTATTTTGCGGTCCTCTATTATTCACGGATAACACTTTGGATGTACCCAAGAATGTCTGTGAGTAGCTTTAAAGTTGCCGGCATTTTCATGGCTGGGACAGGGAGCCATTCGTTCTAGAGGCAGTAATTTCCTTTACCTGCGCACGCACGCACGCATATATATACAATACATATATACAATCAGAAACAAATTTAAAAAATGTGGCAGTTTACCCTCAAGTCTGTGCTTTAATAAATAAAGTACAGACTTGAGGGTAAACAGTCACATTTTTAATAAAAAAATTCTAATTATATGTGAGAGTATTTTCCCATTATTATTTATTTGTATGCGTTTTGTGTGTGTGTGTCTACACACACACACACACACACATACACATATATACAATACAGGTAAAAGAAATAATTGTCCTACGGGCAAACACAAAGAGAATATACATTTCTTTGTACACAAGTAAAAATGTCCCCCCGCAAATTTGGGAGGCCTCCTGTACTGTACTTTGAAAACTGATCTCTAAAGTTCTCTTTTGACTGAGTTGTAATAAATTAAAAAGATGGTTAGGCATGACAAGGATTACACTTACAATCTAGTTAAAATGATCTTACAATCTAAACAGTAGAATAATTGCACTCAACTTACTTCCTTGTTGTGTCTGAAAAACTGTGGAATTCATGGGAGGTAGGATATTTGTTCCATTCTGTTCCCGGATATACACCTTCAAGACATAGAACGTGTAAGGCTCTAGATTGGTGATCTCGCATGACTGCAACAAGAAAATAAACGAAAATAAGAATTTTTTTTTCAATTTATCTGGTTGGTGAAAGCAAAATCAGATGCGAGGCATAAATGCAACAAACTGCATCGAAAAAATTTAAACAATCATTCCACCATGAAGTTAGTTACATTCACAGACAACTTATTCATATATTCTCGTTTATATTACTAGAGAAAACTAAAATCAAATGACTCTTAGAGCATATATTACCAACACTTAAGAGTTACATCATGCTACTAATCAGAATGTCCGTTATAATATGATTTTATATTTAATGTCAAAGTTACCGTGAGGGTCATTACCACACACTCAATTTACATAAAAAAATAATAATTCTTGAAGACACATTTCATTTTCATCAAATAAAGTAATTTTAATCCTTACCATATTTGAGGTCCAGGACATATTTTTCCAGGCAGGAGAGTTACCAATAGTAGCTTTAACAATGTAGGATGGCATATATACTAAGTTGGATGAGGCTTCAACTTGACCATTAACTTTCCATTTCACACTGACTGAAGTATTTGTTATTTCCGTCATTCGGAAGTCTGTCACAAAATACTGCTGCAAAATATGGGCATATGTGAGGACTGGACTTTATCTTTGTTGGTAAATAGGTCACTAATATAATAATAATAATAATAATAATAATAATAATAATAATAATAATAATAATAATAATAATAATAATAATAATAATAATAATAATAATAATAAAAACATGCAAGTTTACTGTTTATGGACAAAAATCTACAACTCATAAAATGGTACCTAAAATAACAGAGCCATAACTAAAAAAAAAAAAGGTTGCAGTTTAATAGGGAAGGAAAACTTGTAAAATACAATAAAATAAAAAGAAAGAATTCAGAAATGAGGAGCTGCACCATCAAAATAAACAATATAAAAGTTGCAAGGTTCTGTCTATTAAAACCTGTGCCAATCTTCTCTGTATCATACCAATTTAACTGTAGTTAATGCAAGCTAGTTTATTTTACTATATATAACTGCATTTACTGTATTAACCATTGCAATATTGGCAGAATGAATTATGCAACATCCATTATCCAAACAATTTCTTTATGTAAAACATCTATGGATCCAACCATTCCATGTACAAGAGGTCCTGCTGTAATAATACCAATACTGTATATCACCTTTCTCTCATTCTGTTGTAGATGTGGCAGGATTCCAGTGCTTAAATGCAGTCTGTGTCTGATAGACACAAAAGTTCAAGATTGGCTCTGGTCAAATCTACAGGCATTAATGACAACCAAAGTTTATAAGTAAAATTCATTACTTTACTGACATACACAATAGAAAGTTGTGATTGCTGTAGTGCTCACCTTGCCACTATCAGAGGAGCAGTTATGGTGTTCATCTGTTCCATCCACACAATCCTGGTTCCTATCACAATATTTGAACATCTCCTGGCAGAAACCACCATCACACATGAAGAAGTTATCAGGACAGTGATCTACTGCAGGTGGGGCTGTGTTACAAGCATCCTCATCAGACCTTAATTGTAAGACAAATATTTTTGTAAATGCTGTACCTTCAAGTTCCTATGTTCTCTAAAACATTTACACTACCAAATCCTTTATTTACATATTTCATTACTTTTACTTACTGATGGTGACTTACTGGTTCAGTAGTGTTTTAGGATCTCTTACTGTTTATATATTGTACAGTACTGTACTATTCACATACATCAATGGATAACATTTTTGAAATTAATAAAATTTTATAGTTGGCAACAGACAGTGAAATAACAACACTACAAAGATTACAGAAATGAGAAAAAACAAGTGATATAAAACAGGATACAACTTTAGGGAGATATGACTATCCTATCTCAAACTCTATGATCTGTGATGCCAGGCCCACATGATTGGTGCCATGTGCTGACATACAGTACAGTATAAATATTTACTGGAGTATAATACACTATGGCTATGGGCCACCCCTTACCCTAAAGTCCTCATACTTACCCATCAGCACAGTCTTTGTGACCATCACAATATTGTGTCCTGGAGATACAACCACTAGATTGCCTGCAGCGGAAAGTGTCTGTTTCATTACAAGATGAGGGAGGATGGCAATTTTCCTCATCCTCTCCATCAGGAAGACATTCTTTAGTTCCATCACACCTCCAAGCCCTCCATATGCATTTGCCTGATTTACACTGAAACTGGTCCTGGGGAGGAAAAACTATTATTTCAACTTTGTTTACAAGTAACCTGGAATAAATATATCAAACAACAAAATGCCATGTCTGAATTCAAAGCCAATTACTGCTGACTCAAGAGAGAAAATCATGTCTGTCTTTTGAGAAAAATCTACTGATAAAAAGTAAAAAGCACCATGGATAAACCAGGCTCCTATAAGGGGAGTAAAGTATAGAACTAATAGTGAAATTTAACTGGTCACTTGTCAAATGATCAGTTCCCTAATAAAACCAAAACAAATAAATTAATAAACACCAACCTCCAGGCATACAGGCATATTGTGTGTTGTTGACGTTGGGGTTGTAGGATTGGTATGAATCTCTGGTTGGGAACACCCTTCTTCATCAGAGCCATCTCCACAATCTTTCAATCCATCACACCTCCACCAGAAAGGAATACATTCGGTATTTTTACACCGGAACATCAGTGCCGTACAGTTTCCACTTGTAGGTGGGAGAAAAGGTCTTAATGGAACAGTAGGCAATGGTGAAGGTGTGGTAGCATTGGTACAATTAGCTTCATCTGAGCCATCCAAACAGTCAAATTCTCCATCACAAACCCATGACCTAAGAATAGAAAATAAAAATAATTTCTTTATGAAAAGGGAAATTCAAGAGCAGTAAGTCTGGTAAGCATACCAGGGAAAGTGTTGAGACATTGTTGAGTGATATGATATAAAACAGTGTAGGTACAGTATTAAGGAAAGACCAGTATGGATTAAGGAAAGGAGGATGACATGCAGTTCAAGTGATTATATTTTGAAGTCAAAGTGAAAGATTTCTGGAGAAGGGAAAGACTTTATTTGAGACATTCATGGATCTTGAAAAAAGCATACGATAGAATCTATAGAAATATGATATACAGTACTGTAAGACGCATTGAAAACGTTTGGGATAAATGAGAAATGTGATTACCAGTCAGGAGTTAGTATAGAGAGAGTAAAGCCTGTCTTAGTATGAGTTAGAAAGAGGGTAACTGATACCCAGTGAACACAGGGCAATGTAATGGATTTGTAATGTTGTCATGGTGTTTAATATTTCCCTGAATAGGGTAATAAGAGTTGAAAGTAGGGGTAATAGAGAGGGAAGCAGGTAAATACAGATAAGGAAGGAGAGTTAGCTGTTGTTTGCAGATGACACTGCTCAGGTGGTCAATTCTGAGAACAATTTGTAAATGATAGTGGTTGATTTTGAAAGTTAATGCTAAGAGAAAGTTAATATACAATGTGAACAAAACTGATTGCAGTAAGCAGATAATGGGGGTGTGAAAAAATAAATATAAGTGTAATTAGTTAAATGGGGATAGAAGAGATGAGAATGGGAAAATAAGAAATTGCTAAAAGTTTATAACTCAAGAGTTGGATAGTAGGAAGGGAAGAACAAGGAGATGACAGCACAGAGATAGGCAGTGCTGAGCAGTTAATAGGGCTATTAAAGCAGTAAGAGTGAATGGAAAGCAATAAATGAAAAATGTCTGTTCATGGTTCCAACCATCCTGCAAGAGTGTAAAACAAGAAATGCAAAAGTAGTCCAATAAAAGTGTGAGTTTTTCCTCATACAGTGAGTTCTGCTATAACGTGTGTTTTGACAACGCGAATTGGCTCTAACGCGATTTATGAATAGAGGAACAATATTTGTATAACGCGAACGCTTGTTTGCTGTAATGGGATTTTTGCTTACTATTTCTCCAATTTTGTGATATTAACTGTGAATATGGTAAAGAAGAATATCTCCAAGAAGCGTTCTGGTGATCGCATTCCCGGTGATGATCGTAAAAGAAAGGCTATAACCCTTGAAGAAAAGCTCGATGTTATCTACCTCAAAATCACCCTTCTCCCCCATCAAGTTATTTTCATATTTTTTCAAGGTAAAGTGTTACATTTACTGTATGATTTCATTATTAGATATGAATGTAATATTTATTTAGACTGTGCTATCCTTTGTGTTAGGCTAACTACTAAATTTTCTCGATTTCGAGTAGTAATCTGCACCTAACCCTAGTTTCTCCATAAGCCCTGTTATTTCTATTACGCAAATTTCTATAACACGATGTTTTACAAGAACACAACTATCGCGTAATAGCAGAACTGACTGTATAGACAGTCCTGAACACAACCACCTTATGTATAATAATAACTGATGGTGTACTTTAAAACACTAAGCATGAAAAGCTGGTGGATGACAGTTTTAAAAACAGATCAGGTTCAGACAGACACACAGACCGAACAGACAAGAGAGGTACTCAAACCTCCACTATACCAATCAAAGATAAAAACTAGTAAAATTTGCTGTTGGTCATTTCAAGTAAATTAATTCCTATAGGGAGAAAGAACTAGCAAATTCAGGTCCTTTAGAAAATCAAGTGACACTGAAAACATACTGAACATAAAATACTTATGTTATCACAGACATATGGATAACTACTTATTCAAGACATAGACAGAAAGAAAAATAATGAGAAGCTCATTTTTCTTACCCGAAGATACACTGCTTGTTGGGGCACTGGAACTGCCAGGACTCACACATGTGTGACTCACAATTAAGCTCATCTGAATTATCCGCACAATCAGGGTCACCATCACACTGCCATGAATTGGGTAAGCATCGCCCATCTGATACGCAGGTCAACTCTGTGGCTGTTGAAAGAACCCAACTGTCTATAAACTAGAGTACACGAACTGAAGTTGGCAGAACAAAAAATGAGAAATTTAAGTTTTGAGAATCAAGCACCTTCAGGCTACAATTGTACTGAGAAGAGTTATGAATGGGAAGAATGTACTGTATTTTGTTGAATATAAGCAGCCCCCTAATTCTATGCTACAGGGCGATTTTTTGACAGAATTCAGGCAAAAATGTTTGGCATTCGAATCAAAGCCTCACCCCCAAAGTTGGAAATCAAAATCATATTCACATTCAAAATTGTTCATAACACAAGATATACGTACCGTATGTGCACATATAATATTGAGTACTTGTGTACATATGCCCATGTTAGAATAGTTGAACGAGGGAACAAAGGTGTGGTAAAAAGTAAGCAATTATGTAACAAAATGAATAGATGTGGCAACAGCGCCAGTGAGTGAAAAGGTACAGTCGCTAGCGATGATGTAACAAAATGAAATATGTTGTCACAAGTGTTGGTGAATGCATAAGTCATGCTGTCATGTCTGAGAGTATGCCATGAATTCTTTTGGAAAGCTGACTGGCATGAGTGGTGTGAGCCGTGAGGCAACTGTATGTCATGGACTTACTACCCACCACATTACCGTAGTGGAGCTGACATTTGCAATACGTTGTTAGATGAAAAAATCTGCTCATCATAATTTACTAATAGGTATACTGTATTTTATGGCATACGACATGCACCTTTTTGTCTGAAAAATGGATAAAGAACAATCAATCTGCATCCTATATGTGAACATGACGTGTCCTGTAGGCTAAGGAATCCCCGGAATCCCCGGAATCCTCCAGATGCTGTCTCCAGGCAAAATTCTACCTAACCCACCTCCAGAATTAAAATTATGTTATTGCCTCCTTAAACACATTATTCTTTTAATTAATTAATTAAATAATTATTGTAAATACAGTAAGTCCTCGCTTAACGTCATGGTTCCGTTCCTGAAAACCGCGACGTTAACGGAATCAATTTCCCCCATAAGAAATAAATAAAATATGAGAGTTACGTTCCCCAGCCTCCCTTTGCCCCATAAAATACATTACTGTACATATACATAAATTCAATGGAATTTTTATAGAAAATAGTATACTGTATTGTATATTATACATCCAAAAAAATAAATGAACTAGGCTAAATAATTTTGAATTGTACTCACTGATGGGCAGAGGTGGAGCGAGTGTGTGGTGGGTAGTGGAGAGGAGGAGGGTGGGAGAGGAGGAGGGTGGGAGAGGAGGAGGGCGGGAGAGGAGGAGGGTGGTGAGTCACTGAGACCCGGAGGGTGGCTCCTCCTCCCGCTTTGACTGGGGTTCCTCCTCGACTGCCGTTTGCTCCTCCTCGCTTGCAGGCTATTGTGAAGCCATTTTGAATGGTTACAGTACAGTGGTCCCTCGGTTAACGGACGGTTCGATTAACGAAATTTCGGTTAACGAATTTCCTCCCATAAGGATCTTCAATTCAGTTAACGAACAAAACTTCAATTAATGAAATCCTTACAAACAACACGTTTTGTTGTGAGCATCAACTGATCAGCTGATGGGCTAGTCTGCCAATTCAGTAATCTGTTTTATGTTTACATTCGTTTCCAGTGGAGTAAATATCAAGAAAGTTGTGCTCTTTAATATTTTTGCATTTTTTATATCACAATTATTAGCCATTTTATAATTTAGTTAAGATATTGATAATACTGTATATGTAGTTCAGGGAACTAGTTTTTTGTGTGCCCATCAGCTGCTTGACTCAGCCACCAGGCGTCAGTTTGGCTTTGTTGACAGTGGAGTGAACATCGATTTTGTTGGTGTCTTGAATATTTTTGCATTTTTACATTGAAATTATTGGTCACTCTGAAATTTAGTTAACATATTGATAATAGATAGTGCAGTGCAGTGTTGATTTAAATAAAATAATCTTGAATTACACCTAGTGAATCATAATTTTTTTTGGTGAAATGACTGCATCACGCATGGGTCCCCTGAAAGGTGATTTCTCCTCCATCCCCACTTCCTTCTCTTCTCCCTCCTCCTCCACCCCCACTTCTAATTCCCATCATCATCATCAACCAGGAACCTTCTACATACACACCTCAAAGTAAGTGTACTTTACTACATTTTTTTTTTTACTTTGTATGTACTTTTCTGTGAGCTGGAACCAATTACCCAATATCCCATTGAAACAATGGATTCGGTTTGCGAACGATTCTGTGGAACGAATTGTGTTCGTTAACCGAGGGACCACTGTACAGTATTTAGAGCAAAAACACTTCAAACACCCACAAACGCTGTGGAAGCCTAACAAAGATTGGGGACGCTTTGGGACGCTGGGACGCTCTGCGAGAGTGAAGCGCACCAAGATGAGAGAGGGTGATGCGCCGTACCAAGTAGTCCGTGACGACGTTATACCGAATCATAGGCATCTAAAGAGTAGCGGCGTTATAACAAAACAATGATGTCAAGGGCAACGTTAAACAAGAACTTACTGTATAAATGCTCGATTAATAACCACTGTACTGATGCTGATAACCCAAGACGACTAACGTCCATATGACAGACACCCAACTCTTCAGGGGTAGCTAAGCAGTAACCTACTCATACAAACAATACAATCTATCAATGCCATACCTGCAACATTTATTTTTAAATCTACTGATGTCTGATACAAATGAAGATTTACAGATAACTTACTTTTCACATTTGCATCTGTTAACATTACTGGCGGCATTGTAGTGAGGTTAGACTTGTCACTGTAACCACCAGGCTACTGGGCCAAGCTGTGAGGTGTTATGCTTGTTTTTCAACTCGTATTTTTGGGTAGATATACATAACTTTCTTAATTTATTTTTACTGATTTACATGCACACACCATCCTACATACATATTGTGAAAAGTAAAGGAAACAACTTTTCTACGGGCAAACACATAAATGGAATATACTGTACATCTCTTTGCACACGAGTTAGCTTTATCAGTGGGGGAATGGGAGGAGGCAAGGCATGTGGGGGCATTGCTAGGGAATCGGTGGAGGTAGCGTCTGCGTTGCTATAGTGAACCAGGGAGTATAGGCAAATGGAGACTGTGTTAAACTTTCATTTGACTTTTATTTACTGGTTTGGCAATGCAGTATTTTTTGTTGTAACTCATTTATTGGTATAATTTTTATTTATTCCTCAAATTTACTGGTATTGTATATACTGTATTAAGAAAACTATGGCTACAGGAGGAAAATTCACACAAAACTTTTTTCTTAAATACTCCCTGCTAAAATGGATGGGTGCATCTTATATGCCATAAAATACGGTACATTGACTCGGAGTGTGATTCATAACTTGCTATGATATCTGAATACCATTAAATTACCATAGAGCAACAGAGTATACAGTACTGTATTACCATTAACAGAATGCCAAACGCCCACTTTAAACAAAAAAATTTTCAGATAGTATCTGAAAAGCTTTCATAGTGGCTTGATAATGTATTATCTAATGTATGTGGCAAGTCAACAAGCCTTTCTAATACCTCATGTTCCAATTACATAAAATTAGGATATTAGAATGATAATACAGTAACTATGTTAGGACAACCCTGCGTGTGAGCTCATTCAAGACTAGATTTGACGAATATTGGTACGCATACAGATACATTCTAGAATCAATACATGCCCAATACAGTACTTGATTACAGTACGTAACAGAGACATGACCAACCACCCAAGCAGCTAACAGGTCTATCAGTGGTGAACAGAATAAAGTAAAGTACGAGGTCTGTCCGGAAAGTATCCAGCCATTTACTATTAAAAAAAATATTTCTTACCTAGGACAAAGGTGCCTTAGTCCCCTTCAAAGTACTCCCCTTGGGACCTCACACACTTCTCCCAGCGTCCCTTCCACTTTTCAAAACAGTCTGCAAAGTCCTTAATCTCGTCCACGGTCTGAAATCTCCTCCCTTTCAACGGCGATTTTAGCTTTGAGAAAAGCCAGAAGTTGCAGGGAGCCAAATCTGGGCTGTAGGGGGGCTGAGAGACCTGGGTGATGCGATGTTTTGCCAAAAAACCCTGCATAAGACGTGAAGAATGGGCAGGCGCGTTGTCATGATGAAGCTACCAGTCACCACTTGCCCACAGCTACGGTCGTTTTCTTCTTACCGCATCCCTCAGCCGGCGAAGAACTTAGATGTAGTACTCCTTCATCATTGTCTGGTCATTGTAAATGCGACGGTCACACAGTACCCACGCTCACTCAAAGACGTCTGCCAGGCATCTGAGTTGTCCCATGGGAGTGTGGCTGTTCACGCATGCGCAGTACGGTCCTCTCTGAGTGGCTGCCAAGTTACATCAAGGCCGCGCAACCAGTTCTCACAATATTCACAACAGCTGGATACTTTCCGGACAGACCTCGTATAAATGTTCGCTTCCTTGACCTCAATAACGGAAACGTATAATCGTCTTCTAATGTACAGATTTACGCATTTACCCTCTTAAATCTACCACATAGAATGAAGAGATACCAACATTACCTCTGCACTGACTGGAAACTGTAGAGGTACAATTGTCCTCATCTGAACCATCTCTGCAATCATCCTCCATATCACAAACCCAGTTAATATGGATACATCGCCCATTCCTGCACCTGGTGGTTAAAACGCAACAATGTCAAAGCATATTCAAGTGTGCATATACTGTAGTTTGTATATGTACAGTATATGTACAATCCCCTTCACTCATGCATCTACAGGGGATGATCAGGTTTTATGCAGTGTGGCAGTGCTGTGTTTGTTTACATTCAAAAGAAGGAAACTAGCAATAGTAAACATACTGTGAAATCACATTAAAACAAATACCTCAATTATGATTTGTGGAATGTTTATATGACGAGCACCTGTAATTGCACTAGTGAAGGGGACTGCAAATGCGAGAAATAGAGAGAGAATTTAGAACATTACCGGGAAAAATGGTTACATATGAAAAGTTTGGATCTCTCTCTCTTTTGTCAAGCAGAAACTGTTGATCATGATCAACTACATTTTGTAAAAAATAAGAGCAATACATTTGAAATAAAATGAGCTAGCAACTTGCCCAATAATTCATGCCACACTTTTATACCAAAATTCAAATAAATTCATTGATTCCATTGAAAATTATGGAGTGGAAACATAATTTATCGTATATTAACTGATGGATAGTTTCACTGCCATTTTCCTCTAAACTTTCAACCAAGATTATAATAAGCTTACTTGAAGGATTTATCTGGACATTCTTCATGATGACAGTGCTCTTCATCTGAGTTGTCACCACAGTCATCGTCATAATCACAAACCCAACTTTGTACAATGCATCGGCCATTGTTGCACTGCCATGAAGGTGATGCACAGGATTTTTCGCCACACTCAGGCCCAACCTGAAATAAAGGCAATTTTATCTGCCACACATGTGATAATACCTGAAAACATCAATGCCATCATAAAACATAAAGCTCATTTATAATTTCTGTAATTACCATAGAATGGTAGAGTCATTATCCTCTACACTCGTTCCATTATCAATCATATTCACCTTAATTTTGTTTGATACGTTACTTCAGTTTAAAATAGTGAAGAACTGGATGAGTTGAGAGAATTAAATTATACTTGAAATCAGTACAATACATGAACTCTAGTCCAAATATCCAAAATCTGAAACATCCAAAATTCTAAGTAGTGGACATTCAACATCCAAGCCAAAGTGATACATGACATTCCCATGATTGTCACACTGTTGCCCCAAGCACTGTCATTAACTTTACTCATTTTTCTTTCATAGACAAAACTATCAATTGATTTAAAGGACTAAATCCTTCAACTGCTCCCATTCATCTTCAACTCCTCCCAGTTTGCCCCAACTTCCATGTGCCTACCTTATTTCAAGCATTTCTTTTAATATTTTGGCTACATCTTCTTTCCTCAGCTCACAGACTTTTATAGCTTTCTTTACATTTCTTTGCCTCTATTTCCTCTGAACCTTCCATTCACTGTTAATCTTGGTTCTACAAAGACACTGCTCCTTGTAATATATTCACATCAATCAATTTCAAAGTCATTCTTCTTTCCACCAAAACTGACTAGCAATCCTCTATTTCATTTTCCACCCCACTCCACACATACTTATGGACTGTGAACTGTATATGCTATACTTTCTTCACCTCTAGAAAACATTCATAAATTCTGGGTACTATCATAATTACATTATTAGTGCAAGCACCTCAATTATAAGCACTAGAATATTTAAGATACTGTATATTAGTCTCTGGGGAGTATGATCCGACTTAATAAAGGTATTAAACTTGGAGATAAACAAATAAAAGTTCATAAATATATGGGCTGCTCACTTCATCCGAGTTATCTCCGCAGTCATCGTCTTTATCACACTGCCACTGGCTGGGGATACATCTTTCATTCTTGCATTTGAAGAAATTAGGAGGACAGGTACTGCCTGCAGATTTGCATGTTCCATTCTCTTGTATAGGGGATCCATCTGGACACATGCACTGTTCATTATATCCTGAACTTGCTACCTGCCGCTGAAATGAATATTTAAATACTTAATTTCATATACCCTGTATTATATATATACCGGTAAGACTTATTATGCCCTTCACAAATTCATCATTATGAACATACCTTTCACAAGCAGCATTAATAAGTCCATTTTTTTACCATTCATTTCACCTGATACCACTCAAGGTCAGCCCTCAAGTTATGAGATGACAATAGTGATATCCCATTAGCCAGAATAATTGGAAGAAACAGTGAAAGAAATGTGATTAGGAGGTAGGAAAACAAGAATGTGGGAGGGCCAGGGTGATGTATGAGGTGAGAGCAAATGGACTCAGGGAGTAGTGGTGGTGGTGAAAGAATGGACTACAAGTCATGGCCCCACTGCTGGCTTAGAGTGTCATAGAGTTTCATAGCACACCTATGAAATTTTATTTTGCCATTGTACAGGATCTAGTGACAAAGTATTATGTTAATATCTTCCAAAACTTGTATTTTGTGCAACATATTTCACAATGCAACTTCTTGAATGGTACTGGAAGAGAAGCTTATGTATGTAAACACAAATATTAATACATGGAATAGGTAAAGCATATTAAATGAACTTTAATCCACTCAGATAAAGCTAAATGAATAATACAGACCTCCATGCCGTCAGGGCAGAGACAGGCAAACTGGTTGTTGGGACGACCCACACAGAGGTGGCTGCACCCAGTTGTCTGGTTCCTGAGGAACATCAAAACAATTACTTATAGAAAACTGAAAGATGTGCATCAATGATCAACTAGATCTCATTACTCTTACTGTTATGCTTCTAAGATACAAAGAAAATTTCCTCCATCCCAAATGGGTAGATATACAGCAAGCCCTTACAATTCGTGGCCTTGATTATTTGTGGAGGACACCCTGGATGAACCCAAGAATGTCTGCAGGTACTTTTTAAGTTGGCGGCATGTTTGTGGCCGGGACAGAGAGCACGCTTGTTTTGTGGTGCCACATTGCGTCTCTGTTGTCCCAGGCGGCTGGGCCACACGCACATTCCACCTCAGTGGGGGATAAACACTTGTCCATCTCCTGCGTGTGCCACTCTGCTCTCTTAACAATTGTGCTCCTCATTCTTGTGATGGCTCCCAAATACCCTCAACCATCTTCATCCAGCCACAGGAAGGACCCAAACAAATGAAGAGAGAAAAGAAGGTCAAGACCCTCTTGGAGAAGATACAATTGCTGGACAAACTTTGGAGTGGCCAGAGTTTTACTGCGTGTGGCCTCGAGTATGGAGTTAATGGGTCAACTGTCTGCTACATTTCCTCTGTCTACCCAGCAGTAATTCGGAACCTGGATGTTAATCGATTTGCAAATCGTATTCCGGGGTAATGGTTAGCCAGTGCAGTTGACGAGTTGTCCGGTCTTCTTGGACTATTCCCTTGGGCCGGCCATCCTTGTTACACATGGGGCAACCATTATTAGTACATCATGAAGAAAAAGTGGGATATTCGTAATGACATTGCCCTCAGTACTCCCTCTACTGCCAAGGTAGCCACTAATGTGAGGGATACAGCTATGATGAAGATGGAAAAAGCCCTTAACATCTGGAATGGGGACTTTAACCACCACCACATCCCTCTCAGCCAGAAGTTTATCCGTGACAAAGCCAAGGTCCTGTATGACCGATTCCATGCTGAGGAAGGTGGTGAAGTGAGTGGTGAGGATGGTGCTAGTGCTGGTGGTTCTTGTGATTCCACAAAGAAAGGTTTTAATGCCAGTAAGGGGTGGTTTGAGAATTTCATGAAGCACTACAACCTTCACAACTTGAGGATCACTGCTTAGTCAGCCTCGGCAGACGATGTAGCAGCAAGGGAGTATTCTGCGATCTTTGCCGAGATTAACCGGGAGAAGGGTTACAAGCTGGAGCAGGTTTTAAAAAATGAGGAGCACTTGTAACCCCCTGCCTTCATCTTCATCGTCATCACCATTCACCATACTCAACATTTTCATCATGATATTCATCAGCGGGAGGGGAGAGAGGAACAGGCTCTACACAAACAGCCAGCATGGTATAGTGAGTGTTACTCTTTTTTTTTATGTACCTAAAAATATACCCACCCAGCTCCCCGGTCAGCAAATGATACTCGCAGGCATTTTAAGACCCAAGGCACCACGAATTTTAAGGGCATGCTGTATTTAAAAAAATAATAATAATAATTAATTTAAAAAAAAATTAAATACTACAAGAAGAAAATTATATTTTCAGAATATCAAGACTGTACATGAATTACCCCATCTTTGTTTAGTCTCCTTACTTGGCATGTAAGGAGAATAAACAAACTCAAGAAATCATAATGAAATTAAAAATAAATCTGGAGTTATTTAAACACTTTACTCCACTGAACTCACCCACAACTATTGTTACCAAGTTGTGACCAGTGACCAAACACCTTCAGATCAACAAGTCCTGTTCTTGTAAAATTAGCAATTGGAGCAATACCCCAGCCAGACTCTTTGTCTGCCTGCAACACCTGGTCCACATTCCAATCATCCCAGAAGAGGGTTGACTTGTATATACCCAAGGCAAATGGCTGCATAACCTTGTCCTGTGGTGCAAAAATTATGAGGTTATATATCACCAAAAATAATTTTTTTTAACTTTTCTGATGTGTCAAATAGGTTGTCAGTTCCTTGGCATCTTCTAATGATACAAAAACATAGCAACAACAAATTTAAAACTGTGTGATTTTTGTGTAAAACAAAGCACAGAATAAAAAACAAAACAATGTTTTTGACGATTCATAAATTGGGCATTTGTAAATCAGGGTCTGCCTGTATTACATTTACTTATAACTGGAATTAATTCCAGTATCTGTATGCTAGACCTATGCTACTGTAACCCCTGGCAACATAAATTTGTCTAACTCAGGAAATATGGTAAGTTTGATGCACTGAACTGTTCACTACGAGCTAACAAATATTCTCAAAATTTTAGAGATCCAAGTGACATTTTATCTTACAGCATAAGGCTATATTATTTTACATTACATAGTTAATACTTTACAGGAATTGTTAAATAGTACTTAGAACTACAAATTTTACATATAAGTTCATGAGTTACTAACTTACATTATAATTAATACAGTGATACTGCATACTACTTTACAGTAATCACTTACACTGTTACTTATAATCTTTCTCATATAGCGTCCATCCAGGTCTGCTGATGCAATATAATCTAACTTGGCATCTGCGAAGAAGATCCGCTCAGACTGGAAGTCAATTGTGATGCCATTGGGCCACCCAACAGTGCCAATTCCAAATAATGTCTGTGGAATTATAAAACATGAAATTTTTAACAAGATTATGGGAACAAAAGTGCTGTAAATAATGATAGAATGAACAAGACCCAATTTTCCCCATTAACTTTTTCACAATTAATGTCCACTTTGCATTAGATTTAACCTTTTAAATCTGGTGTTCTCACTTTAACCTATAACAGACAACTTTCAGATTTATAACCCATTTTTTTTAATTAAATCAAATTACTAATTCACTAATGAATCTTCTTTCCTCATTCCACACATACCAAAAACCTGGTTGTGATCCAAATGTTCCCAATACAGATAAGTGCCTCAGACTATTACATTTAAAATTTATCTATCATACTCTTCAAAATAGGAAACAAATACCATAACACATTCCCATTACTTATGGTATTTAATAACTGAAAGAAAGAATTAACAATAAACAAACTCACTATTAAATTGGTTCCATCAAGGAAAGCTCGAGCCACTTTAGGTGAAGTATCCGACCAATCCGTTATATACAGATACCTGAAAATTAACTGGTGTTGGTTAATTTACTTGATACACATTCCAACTAACATTTGTTACAGTACCCTGTATGTGTAGTGACACAAGTGTCATGCTTTAGAAAAATGTCTATCTTTGACCTTTAGTTGTAACCCTGACATTTGATGCAGAAACTTGAATCTTAGGTTCTGCACTTTGCCTATTGCTGGTCCAAATTCTTTTAAAGTTTCATATTATCACCATCATCAATGTCTTGAGGCCATTTTCCACACTTACGTGGGTTAGCCGTGATTACCTGAAGGCAGAACAACATATCTACCCCCTCCAGCACTCACCACTGCAAACCCAATGTGCCAGCCCAGAAAGTGCAGCAGAGAGGGGACCTGGTTGTCATCAGGCATGTGAAGCAAACTTTTCCAACTGGATACCCTTCCTAGCACCATTCCACAGGATGAGAACCCCTGACACGGGGGTTCTCATCCACCTGCCTTTATTGAAATGAGTTATGATCTTGACAATGTCTTGAATTTTGACCTTCTACTGTGGTACTGACCTATGACCTGCTATAATGATCACCTTTGACCTGTGACCTACTCTTTTGCTGACCTATGACATAGTGACTTGGTTCAAAATTCTGTACACTGTTTAGTAATGATACATCTTCTGTGAAGGTTTATCAGAATATCCGTATCAAAACTGTGTAAGTGTTGTGTTCTAGACAAGGCTTTGACCTTTGAACTTCCTATAACTTTGAACTTTGAAATAGATAATTGAATTTGGAAGAATGAACATTGCCTCTCGAAGAAGCATCCTATGGACAAATTTTGCAGAGACAAAGAATATCAAGTAAAATAATAAGTCATCCAACTGTCAGCTACGGGGACGTTTAACCTAGAGCTGTGTTTGTGAAACAGAGGTCACAAATTCATTAAACTGAATGAAAGTGTCATTGAAAAGTTAATCAGGTTACATACAGATGCTTACAAAGAAACCTACAAAATGTCACAACTGTAAAGAAGATATGGATGGGAGTAATTGAGTGCATGTGTCATCCAGATGTAAATACATAAGGAAATACCATCACATTCCATATGCATGGATATGGAAGGAATTCAGGAGAAAAAACTGTAATACACTATACAATGAAAAACTGAACATTTGAAAGATATTGGTATTGTAAATACAGAGATGCGATGATATAGTACATCATCAAACAAAAAAAAGTCATTCAAACCCTCGAACAGGATGGACAGCAATGCCACGTGGATTATCCAACTCTTTACTGTCCAGAAGAGTCCGCCGCATACGTCCATAGTTAGAGATATCTGTTCGAATAACCTGAAGGGTCTTTAGCTGTCCATCAACAAAATAGAGATTCTTAGAAATCCAATCAAAAGCAAGTCCCTCCACGCTGTGAACTTTGGTATCTACCAGAGTTTCCACGTCATGCTTTCCATCAAAACACAGCCGCTGTGGGAGAGAAAACATAGACACAGTGTTTAGGAGAAAGGCTTATCACTTTATGTTCATATCTTAAATATTCATTATTCTTATTTACTATACAAACATATAAACAAAAAAACAAAAACAAAAGTTCATTAATCCTTTCTTTTTTCTTTCTCTGATTGAAGGTGACTGGTATCAAGAGCATCCTCTGATTCTCCTTCATCCATTCTCATTCTTTCTAAAACTGCTGTAACTAATATTTGCTACCAAAATGTTCTCCTTCCACAGACTCCAAAATACCTATCTGAGTGATCCCTGTTGCTTCATACAGCTGGGCATCTCCTGTCAGCAGCATGTCCAGCCCCAAACACCACTTGACACCATGCTATTCAATCATTCAAATGCACTGCTGCTTCTATATGCACATCTATCCCACAATTAATACCTCACTCATCCCATCTATCACTTTATACTTGGTTTCCCCTTTTTTCTCATACCATCCACGTGTTATCTACAGTGGCCCCTCGGTTAACGGACTGTTCGATTAACGAAATTTCGGTTAACGAATTACCTCCCATAAGGATCATCAATTCGGTTAACGAACAAAACTTTGATTAACGAAATCCTTACGAACAACACGTTTTGTTGTGAACATCAGCTGATCAGCTAATGGGCTAGACTGCCAATTCAGTAATCTGTTCTATGTTTACATTCATTTCCAGTGGAGTAAATATCAAGAAAGTTGTGCTCTTCAATATTTTTGCATTTTTTTTATAAAATTATTAGTAATTTTTAAATTTAGTTAACATATTGATAATATATGCAGTACAGAGAACTAGTTTTTTGTGCGCCCATCACCCGCTTGACTCAGCCACCAGGCGTCAGTTTGGCTTTGCTGACAGTGGAGTGAACATCGATTTTGTTGGGGTCTTGAATATTTTTGCATTTTTACATTGAAATTATTGGTCATTCTGAAATTTAGTTAACATATTGATTATATATAATGCAGTGCAGTATTGATTTAAATAAAATAATCTTGAATTACACCTAGTGAACTTAAAATTTTATTGGTGAAATGACTGCATCGAGCATGGATCCCCTGAAAGGTGATTTCTCCTCCATCCCCACTTCCTTCTCTTCTCCCTCCTCCTCTACCCCCACTTCTAATTCCCATCATCATCATCAACCAGGAACCTTCTACATACACACCTCAAAGTAAGTGTAGTTTACTGCATTATTTTTTTTTTTACTTTGTATGTACTTTTCTGTGAGCTGGAACCAACTGCCCAATATCCCATAGAAACAATGGATTCGGTTAACGAAATTTTCGGTTAACGAACGACTCTGTGGAACGAATTGTGTTCGTTAACCGAGGGACCACTGTATAATTGTTTTTAACCATCTTTCATTTCCCATACTCTCTATGTCCATACCACTTAAGCAAATCCATTCAGTTCTGCCTGATGCCCCCTTTCATTTCCACAACTCCTTATATGTGTCCCTTATTCTTTGCATCTTAGTCATCAATATATTTCTCTCACGTATATAATATAAGACAAGGGTACTACGCACATGCATGCCAACTCTGCTCTCTTGATTATAGTTGCTGTTCAATATATATCAAAAGATCATACATATTTGCACAGAGTTTAGTTAGAATTACCTTCAATGCTTTAAAATTTATGAACTGGACCATAAAAAATCAGAAGGCAGGAAAAAAATGCCTCTGCATACTACATCCCATCCAAACAGCCCACAGTAAAATAGGAACAGCAATTCCCAAGTACTCTGTACTACATGAATTGCACATCCAAGAGATAACTATTTCTCTTAAATTTTGATATTCCCATACCAACCAACTTCTTCCTTCACTTCTTTCAAATTTCTCCCAATCTTTTGAAAGAATTTGAACAGTATATAACTACAGGAAAATAAACAAAAATTTTCTATGTTAAAACTCACATATATCTTTTTTTCGTTCACATCTGACCAGTATATACAGTTGGCTGACATATCAAAGTCAAGAGCAATAACCATCTTCAAATCTAGTAGAGGTAAAGGTTGCAGTCCAGCTTCGGGGTTGAGAAGGTCATATCGCAGGATCTCTTGACGAGCTGATACTAGCAGGAATTCTTGCTCTTCACTAAGGAATAAACAAAAAAGGAACATTATTGGTGCAAACACATATAAAACCTTTGCAAAGAGACAATACCTCAGAGTATATGACATATTAACAGATAATAGGTCACCTATCTATTTATCACTCCTGCTCCAGTCAACTTCCCATATTAAATCAAGACTAGATTAATAAACAAGATACAGTACCACTCTCACATTTTAAAGACTTTTCGATACCTTGAAAGTGAAGAAATTTATTTGTTTATTAACTTTATAATGAATAGTATTTTGTTTTAGTACTGTACTGTAATATCAAATACATAGATATTTTTTTGGCAAAATCTCATTTAATACTCTTTGGGTTTTCATACACAAAATTGTGTATGATCTAAATTATCACTTTAGAATTTTCATCATCAAATTTGTGTGTTAAGTAAAAATTTAAATAAAATATATTTGTTTGCATATGACCACTCGACATGCAGGACACATTTGGCATCGTCAGCACAATCTGGCAACTATGTAGACTGCAATCCAAAGTCACCACACCAGTCTCCCTTTCATGTTTAAAGGACCCAGGATATAACGTTGATCCACATTTCCCACGCATTTTCTTGCGGCTTGTGCTGATTTCTCTTGCATCACAGCGACTTCATTTATTCATAACAGTGTTGTGAGAGTTTTGAAAAATGTCTCAAATTGTTAGCGAGAGTAGTGGTGTGTGAAAACGAAAGAGTGCAAGGAGATTGTACCCCGTGGTGATAGTGTGGTGCCTCCAGATGCCTCTCTCAGTGTCTTTGGCCCTTCTAATGTAAGTGATAGTTTTTCTAGCCCTTTAACAAGCAGTCCTAGTGCTATGACTCAATATGTACAATTATCTTTTGTGTCAGGAGGGAAATAATGAATAATCTATACTTGGCCTGGGCGCGCTAATCAGAACACACAATTTACACCACTATTACCGAGTGAAATATTAATTTTTCACAACTTTTCTTCCATAACTAATTTTTTTAAATATGTATGGTTTATAATGGAACAAGGTTCATATTGCAATCACATGAAATAATTAAGGTATAATGATGTATACTGTAGAGTGATCCCTCGGTTAACGAGCGCCTCGGTTAACGAGTTACCTTCCATAAGATTCTTAACTTCGGTTAACGAGCAATCCCTCGATTAACGAGTTTTCTACAAGCCGACCTCAACATGTTTTCGCTTGCATTTGGCGGTCCACCACCTGTAGTATTAGTCCGCCAATACAGTTATCGGTTTTAGGGCTTAAATTCCTTACTATTTTAGTAAATATCAAGAAGTTTATACTATTCAATAATTTTAAAAGTTTAATATTAATATTTTTTAGTAATTTTAACAATTATTGAACATAATTGAAGGTAAAGAAACAAGTTTCTGGCACGCCATCCAGCCTGTTAACACACAAACAGGCGTTAGTCTCTCTCTCTTTTCAGTGGAGGTACCTGTAACATATTGCTTGAGACTCTTCAACTAAACGCTTTTTTTCTGTGTTTCCAAGCAAATTATTGGTCATTTTGAAATTTATTTTACATATTGACAATATATAATGCAGTGCAGTGTTGATTTAAAGAAAATAATCTTGAATTACACCAAGAGAACTAAAATTTTATGGGTGAAATGGCGCCATGGGGTGACTTCTCTTCCACCCCAATGCCTTCTCTTCTCCCTTCTCCTCCACCCCCATTCTAATTCCCATCATCATCATCATCCAGGAGCCTTCTACATACACACCTCAAAGTAAGCGTGCTTTTCTACAATTTTTGAATTTTCTGTGAGCTGGAACCAATTACCCCAAAACCCATTGAAACAATGGTTTCGGTTAATGAGTTTTTCGGTTAACGAGCAACATGCTGGAACGGATTGTGCTCGTTAACCGAGGGACCACTGTATATACATTTCATTAAGCATAAACAAAAATTTGGGATTCTACTCGCGTTTTACGTTTAGAAAATTTTATTTTATCGTGATTACTCCTATAAAACTGTTAGTAGACAATTTATTTATAATGCTAATGCAACAAATGCCACATTTTTATCTCGAATAGCAAGCTTGCTATTACTCATTACGTACAATTATCTCTCGTGCGGTGCATTCAAATGCGGTAAGGTGAGTAACAGGCCAGACCCCAGTCGTCTCGCAGGAAAGGGCCTCCCTAGAGTATTAATTAGCATCAATCTAATTATTAAATTTGATATAACGCCATATATCATTAAACATTATTTTACCTCACAAAATTCCCTTTCCATGTAGTAATATCCCCGTTAACCGGAATAATTGGTGCAGAGCTCTTCCGGGTAATGTGATGACTTTCTCAAACCTGGAAAAAAGCCCACATCCCAGGATTTCTCATAGTACAGGTATCCCTTGCTATGCAAATGAGTTAAGTCCCTGAAAAACACACATTTATTCACAAAGTGAATAAGAAAAAATTATGTCCATGGAGATGGTATGTTGCGATAAAATAAGAAAAATGAAGAGCATGGGTGTGAAGAGCATGGGTACGAAGAGCATGGGTGTGAATGCGTGTGAAGTGAATGCATGTGTGGACTTGGCATGTTGCCAAGTTAGACTGCCCCTGTAGCTACATCCCCATAGCTCTCCCCTTACCATGCCAAACTGTGTTATTACGTATTATTATTATTCAACTGATATTTTGGGGTAAATGTATGTAACTTTAATCATTTTTTCTTACTGTTACATACACACATGATCGTTCACACAGAATGAGTAAAAAAAGATAATTAAAGAAATCATCATAACGTCACAAAGAAAAGAAAAAATTCTTGCATCCACGGGAGTTAGTATCCAATCATGGGAGGGGAAGGGGGGAGCTGGAGGGGGGTGTGGTGTCGGGGATCTCAACCTCTTCCTACCAGGCCAAGCTGTGAGTCGAGTTACTTGTTATTGTTCTTTTTCAACTTGTAGTTTTGGGTAGATATACAAATATTTCTTCACTTTTGTTACAGTTATATGCACACATAATCATTCATACAGACTGTGCAAAAAAAAAAAATGATTATCATAAATAAGGTCAAAAACACAAAGCATTCCTTACATCCACTGGAGTTAGCCAATGATTATGGGGGGGGGGGAAGGGCACTGTTCTCCTATGTCCTTAGTGAAACAATTGCCAAATGGCAATGCAATATTTTTCTTTTATTTTATTTATTATTATTTTTATTAATTCCTTACATTTTCCTATGTCCTTAGTGAAACAATTGCCAAATGGCAATGCAATATTTTTCTTTTATTTTATTTATTATTATTTTTATTAATTCCTTACATTTTCAGAAGATTATATTGGAACATGGAGGGAAATCAAGACTGCACTGCATTATATATTGTCTTCAAAATGACCAATAATTTGTGCAGTTAGTCTCAAGCAAGATGTTACCTCCATGCCGCTGTGTTAAGAGGCTGGATGCATTAAACTAGTCACTTTACCTTCAATTATGTTCAATAATTGTTAAAACAGTGAATAGTATAAACTTCTTGATATTTACTAAAATAGTGGATACCACTGATACTAAATCAGTGAAAACATGGATGGCAAATTTTTTTTTAACAATTAGCTAGTGATTACTATATACATATCTGTAATCACCTTTTTATGTCTTGACACTTGCAGGAGAGGTGAGGTGGGGGATTACTGGTCTCATGTTACTGACCTTCTGTAATGTCAGGTCACCCATTCTTGGGGTGGTAGATTAAAGGGTCTCATAACCTGAAGAAGTCTTGAATAAAGGCAAGAGTTAAGATGCTCCAGTGTTCCCCTCTTCCTGTACATATGGTACTTTCACACTTACCAAATGTGCAATACAGTATACATAACGGCAATCACTTTTAACGTCTTAACACTGTATTCTTGGCCGATTGTGTCCTAATACAGTAATGTACAGTACTCCACAACATAAACTGTATGCAAAAACAGCAACTGGCATGGGAACAACCTTCTATAATAGCAGCAGAATATGAACCAAGCAATCCAAGCAGCTAGGCCACCAACATGCCTGGCAAGTGTGGACATGTTAGAGTGTGATGCAATCTCCTGGAACTCTCACCAGGCTCAGAATATAGGTGTTTGGAGAGATTTTCTTGGAATTTTTCTCAGAAAATACGCTTCATTTTCATCCTCGGACAAATTTCCCGGAATTTTTTCTGCCTGATATCCATTCTGGGAATGGTGATTACCTGACATTGAAATATGTTTAAAAATCCTGAGACAGAACAAGTATAGATGATAGAAATATAATAGTACTCTTAAAAACTTACGTGACAGGACAAGCAGTGATAGAAGGAGTGTACTGGTACGCTCGTCCACCTACGCAAGTGTCTCCAGGGATTTGACGATAACCGTTTGTCCTATTGTAAAAATGCCCTGGTTTACAGGTGTTAGGAACTGCATAAAGATCAATAGAGACCTCTGGATCTTGATAACATTTCTGGGATTCCATGTCATCAATGAAACCAAAATCACACTCAAAATCTTCCCGGTCACATGGGCAGTTTTCCACTGAGATTGGTCTATCATAGTTGACTTGATTCAAGCAATTGGAGTGAGGAACACGGCGTTCAAAAACCTGCTTGCGTCCAAGTAAACACATCCGTCCGCTACGACCATCAGAGGGAGACCAGGTCTTGTAGTCATCCTTAGAGCATGGATATTGAAAAAGTGATTTCATATCCACCTAAAACAAAACAAAAAATTTGCTGTAAGTTACATAACCATTAAAAGTGAACATATTAGATTATACAATACGTATCTTCACAAAATCAGTGAACTGTATTCTGTAAACTGACTCGATTTGGGTTATGCTTACTACACTATTCACACGCAAATACAGTACCTTCACCAGCTCAAATCATCCTGACATCTTATCTACATTGCCCCCCCCCCTAAAGACTTCATTCTGAGGAGACAGTCATTGCAAACGAGCTTCCAGGTAATGCTATCATTACAAACCTCATTTGCCCTTTCTATTTCCCTTATTCCCCCCCCCCCTTCTCTCTTTATGTATTAATCCACCATTCTCCTCTATGATGTCGGTGGTCTTCCTCTTCCTACCTTTCCCATAAACACCCTCCTATCCCCTCATACATCATTCTCCAATATCCATAACATCTCATTCAACATTTCTTTACCAATTTTTCAAATTACACCTTCTGTCTTCTCTGCCATTCCAAAACAACTCACATGTTAGAAATTTGGGCAAGAAGCACTGAACTATCACAGAGTTCATTCTTTATCAGCAAATTTACATTCCTTCTCTTTGTGACAGCTCTCCAGTCAACCTCCTTGCATCTTCTGTTCTGTCCCTAAATTTCACTCTCCTTCAGACCATTCCTGTTAAATACACTCCTAAACACACTAAATCATTAACCTCCTCCAGTAACTTATTCTACCTCATAATTTGACATTTCGATTAACTCAACTTTCTATTCAATATCATAGAAAATAAATCCACCTTGTCAAACCCCTTCACATCAAGAACAAATACTATATTCTTCCTAGCATTTATCTTCATTATCCTTCTATCACACATTGCCACAGTTATTTGCCACACTATGCAATTCCTGTTCACTCTCAATGAAATGCACTGCATTATTTGCATAGAGACAAGTTACCAGTGACCACATACCATCTTCCAAGTTCAGCTTTGTTCATGCCCCAGTCACTTTGTCTCCATTCCCCTTACCAATCCATCCATATAGAATCCTTAACCACCATTGAGACATTACACATCCTTGCCTTACCTCTTTCACCCCAAGAATCTCAATAAGTCATCCATTTACTTTCACATATATGTAATTACATTTGCAGAAAGCAGAATGCCTTTGCTGCACCAATCAGCAAATCTCCTGCTCCATAATCTTCATCAATTACTAAAGTGCCTCTTGATCCACCTTACCATGTGCTTTCTCCAGATCCATAAATGTTGCATACAATTTCTAATTTCTTTCCAATTAATTTTTCTGCAAACATCTTTACTGATATAATTTGGTCTACAACCCATATATCCTCTAGTCCTTTTCTATCCTCTCAATAACAAACCATATACTGTTCCAGGTATACTCACAAGACTGACTCCTCTTCAGCTTTTGCACACTTCCTTATTACCTTCCCCCTTGTACAAGAGTTTAATCAATAACTGACCAATCATCTGGTAATCATCTAGTAGATCAAAGATGATATAGAGGCAATTTTATGTCATTTGATACTTTTGGTAGTTTTACTATAAAACTGGTAGACAAGTACAGCATATACAAGACTGATATTTACATCCAAAATTTCAGATCAATATGACCTTTGATTTTCAAAATAAAGTTCACCGAAATTTAAGATGACACTGCATACAGTATTGAAAATCTTTAAATCACCATAATTCATCTCCAGGTAAACATAGAAAAGTAGCTTTCACATCACTTGAATAAATCCAACTTTCATATTTTATTACTATAACTTGTAAAATAAATATTAAATTTTTTTTTTTACATTTTTCCCCTTGTAATACAGGTGCTCCTCTACTTACGCACAAGTTACGTTCCTGAGGCTTGTTTGTAAGTCCGACTTTACTCTTGTAGAAACCAAACATATTGTAAAAAATGAAAAGATTATAGATGTTTAGTACAGCTATACCCTTTAATACAGCCTTAAAACCTGGCTCACTCTTCTCCTCTTAGGTAATGTTTGTTCTATCTGGAATTTGCTTTGAAATAATCCAGTCTCATCCACATTAAACACCTGTTCTGGCAGGTAACCCCCCCTCAGTAATGATGTTTGTATTTCTGAAAGTTTGTAAGTTGAACGTTCTTAAGTAGAGGAGCCCCTGTATAAATATATAAAAAATATAAAAAATTATATCTTTAAGCTAACCCCAAAATAATATATTCCAGATGTTAGTGCCCTAAATGTGTTCATATTGTTGAAGGTAGTAGTTATGATCCCTCATGCCTTGTGAAACCTAGAGCAGTACAGGAATGCTCTTTTACTGTCCGATCTTCTTCTTATGCAGCACCCAGATTGTACAATCGGTTGCCTGCAACCATGAAGCAGCTGACCTCCGTGGGGGCCCTCAAGAAACAACTTAAAGACCTTTACCTTTCTTTCTTTTAACCTATGATCTTGAAGAGACAAGGTTGATGGAGACTTAAATGGTCTAGGAAGTGTTCTAACTTAAGGGTATACAAATGATACAAGTCAAACTCACTTTTTGTGATCTTTTTTTTTCCATATTCCTTTTTTATTCTCAGGTCCTTGACTTTGTAGTGCTTCGCACACTAGTGAATTTTTTAGAACTGATACATATGAGAAACAAAAGACCAGCTATTATTATAATAATCAAATAAATTTTTTATAACATGTACTACACTCTTTGTCAATTATATACTGTACTAACCTTGACAATGATCCACTGATGCTTATCTTTCTTTGACCCAAATATAGTAAATACAGTTGTATTTTCACCAGGTTCTGTCATAAGGCCATATATGCGAAGACTCTGTGATAGAGAAAATAACATAATTAATTCAAAACATCAATCTTAGAGTAACAATGATTTTTTATACTTACTGCAAAACAATGTTTAAGTCATATAATACATTTTGGAAGAATCAAGACACAATAAACAACATTGATAAGATTACTAATTTCTTTTCAAATATACAATGCATTTCTCAATGAAAACTACAGTACTGTATATGTATTAACAAAAACTAAAACACAACTTAGCAAATTTATGAGTGGAAGATTAAATCATAAAATTCCTTTTGATGGTCAAGGACCTCAAACAAATTGCTACTGTTGCCAGCACAGAACCTAACTTGTCATTTATGAATGGCAGGAATACTGTACTAGTTAACTCAGTTTCATCTCCCAATCATACCTGAAGACCAAAATTATTCAGTGATATGGTGATTGTCTCCAAGACCAGAGAATCAAAGGCTCAGGGAACAACAAACACTTTGTACCAAAATATGAAAGCGTGGAAGGGCATGAAACACTAAAATGTGCCCCTAAACCCTGAAAAGGGATCCCAAGATTCATGCCCCTGAAATCAGCCAGAATAAAAAAGGCCAATGGATGACACACAAGGTCCTGAGCTACATCCCAACAGGAAACTTATATTCGTTCAAACAAAATCAATTGTTTAAAAAGCATTCCAGTGTCAAATAAGTCTGAATTAATATGATCTTTGTAAGGATAATTAAAGATGAAGGTCTTAGCTGAAGACCAAGCTCCTTGTAAAATAAATTCTAAGGACATACCCTATGAAAAAAATAAAAATAAATAAATAAAAAAATCCTGATTATGTTACTAGACAAACATTGGCTCCATGTGGATTCAACTCACCGGAAATGCTGCAATGCATTCGTCACTTGCAGCAATGTTGCTGCCCATTGGGCTAATGTCTTCTGTAAGGAGCTTTGCAGCAGCTTACCTCACTCATCTCTAATGTGAATCCAGACCATAAAAAAACATTATTATTCTAACCTCTGAGAAGAAACTAGAAGTCTGCCAAGTCTCCCCTTCATCAGTTGAATACTGGAGCTCATTTGTCTCACCATGTCCACGGTAAAATTTCACTGCAACAATGATGCCTCCATGATCTCCAATTGTATAAAGGTAGTTACCCATGAGTACCTGTTGATAGAAATAATGTGAATACTGGTAGAATGGCATTGTTTACAATTGTTTTAACGTTTAAAAGTGAACATTTTCCACATAAATATTTATGAGCCCAAATACAAACAGCACTAAGGTATTTACCTGATACCAATTGATTCCAGCATCAGTAGAAACATAGAGTGCAGTATGACCCTTCAAGGAAGTTCCTATTGTGCCTGTAGCCAGGATGAGACCTGGAGCACTCTTCTTACTAAATACAGGCAAAGTGTGAAAAGCTGGATAAAGGTGACTTAGTTCTTGGCTCACATGCAGAGAGCATCCCTTAGCCTGAAATTAAAAAAAATGTAAATAGGCAAGTAATCCAATATGAATACAGTAGAACTTCTATACACCAGAATCTGATTTTTGGGGGACTCTCTGAGGTGCTCCGGAGTGCCCCTCTATCCACCAGAAATACTTTAAAAAGTCCAGAAAGTCCAGCATCAATCCACATCGTTCGCGTGTTTGTAGGTGCGGTTGAACATCTGTGCACGGGTATCGTGTGGCACATGTCTGAGTCCTGCCTTCATACGTATAGTATCAGTGCACCACACCATGCCACCTACACTCATTTATATTAACCTTTTATGTTGAGCACATATCGTCTTGAAAGGGAATACTTGAGTTTGAGAAATGGGTAAAATTATGTAGAGTACATATTTTAAGAAATGGATCAATTAAAAAATGCATATGAAAAGAACAACACTTGTCTGGTCTAATCAGATACAGTATGCTGTAGGCCTAATGAGAGCTACTAAGTACGAGAGCTAAGATACTGCCTTTGTAAACAGGCTGGAAGGGGATTGGGCATTGCCGCATTTGCCAGGTTTATTTATTGATTCAATATATTCTCATATGAACAGCTTCTTATGGTGTACGAGTCATCATAATTAATATACAGTAACCCCTCGTTTAACGAACGCCTCGGTTAACGAACTGCCTTCCATAAGGATCTTCAATTCTGTTAACGAACAAAAATTCGGTTAACGAATTTCTTACGAACCGACCTCAACATGTTTTCGCTTGCACTGACCGGGCAACCAGCTTTAGTATCAGTCCGCCAATACATTAATCGGTTCTAGGGCTTAAATTCCTTACTATTTTAGTAAATATCAAGAAGTTTATACTATTCAATAATTTTAAAAGTTTAATATTCAATTTTTTAGTCATTTTAACAATTATTGAACATAACTGAAGGTAAAGTGACTAGTTTAATGCGCGGCATCCAGCCTCTTAACACAGCAAACAGGCGTTAGTCTCTCTCTGTTTTCACTGGAGGTAACATCTTGCTTGAGACTCTTCAACTAAACGCTTTTTTTCTGTGTTTCCAAGCAAATTATTGGTCATTTTGAAATATATTTTACATATTGACAATATATAATGCAGTGCAGTGTTGATTTAAAGAAAATAATCTTGAATTACACCAAGAGAGCTAAAATTTTATGGGTGAAATGGCACCATGGGGTGACTTCTCTTCCACCCCAATGCCTTCTCTTCTTCCTTCTCCTCCACCCCCATTCTAAATCATCATCATCATCATCATCATCCAGGAGCCTTCTACATACACACCTCAAAGTAAGTGAACTTTTCTACCATTTTTGTTGAATTTAGGAAATTTTCGGTGAGCTGGAACCAATTACCCAAAAACCCATTGAAACAATGGTTTCGGTTAACGAACTTTTCGGTTAACGAACGACCTTCTGGAACAGATTGAGTTCGTTAACCGAGGGGTCACTGTAACCTTTTTAATAATAGAAAATAATACAATATATAATTTGTAATTTGACTTGAAAATCAAAAAGGATAAGCTGTATATTGATAAAGACCCTACAATATTATTTACTAAGTGCTGAAGATAGATGTTGTGGTAAGCATCAGAAATGGAGAGCATTGTTAACATGGCGAGGAATAGATAGTGATCAGCTGTTTGTGCTTGTAATCAAAAATTTAATATGATGCAATGATTCATCTGGGGTAGAGTGTGGGAATCATTTTTCAAGAAAGTTTATTATTTCATGACAATGTTATATTAACCTGGCACTAAATGAACCTAAATATTATAGGAATTATGGTGAAATTGCATAGACGTGTTACAGTAGTCCTGGGGGAGGGAGCCACCCACCCACTGGTGCCTGCTGCTCCCAAGTATGTGAACTCATCTCCCAGTTTATCTCTATTCAAAATACACACATCAACATTAAAATGTACTGGTCACCACAGAATATGTGGAAAACAGAGAGTTCCCCAGGGAAGACTACTGGGATATCATAGTGAATCACACCTATCCAATAATGGAGGGAAAAACATGATAATGATCGTTTTAAGAGCAAATTAAATAGAGAACCAAACCCAACCCTCCACATTTATATCTTGTATACAATTGATCTTTAAACCTGAAAATGTAAGACCTCATCACACTGTCAGATGTGGCTCTTTGAGGAAAAATTACAGTAAATAAAAAATAAAAGAAAATTAATATTTCACACTATTAACCCCTTTAGTGTATATGCAAACTTTTGAAACCAATGGCTTGATCACTGAAAATTTAAATAAAAAATCATCAACCATTTTTTTTTAAATCCAACTCTGAACATTCTTCTGCCAACCAGTATCTTCCCAACAATAATTGAAAGTTAAAAGCCATTAACCTCTTAAAAGCCTATTTTTGGTACCAATGACCTTCACCCCTAAATTTCTTTTATATATTCATCACCTGCTTTTCTGATACATACAAGGATTGTTCTTCATTGCTACAACAACTACTATAGTACAGTACTGTTAGCAGTACTACACAAACTGAACCTTATAAATCTCTTAAAAAGTAAAAGAATACTGTACTGTAAAATAATTCATATAGTAAAACAGCAATGATGAGAAATATCACATGACAGCAATAATAGAAATGAATAAATAAACAAATAAAATAAAAGTAAATACTGTACTAAAACCATCAATGATTCACTTATGAAGTTTGACAGCACTGCTCCCAATACAATTTTAATTACCATAAAAATCATTTGTCTGCAGATGGATTACGGGACACAAGACTATATCCAACCATCCATTTTTGTAAGGGGATACCAACTTTGAAGGTCTACATGCATGTGAATAATTGGGACTACTAACCCTCTCACAGTCGATGAAATTGCCATAAACATCTTTTCTAGGTGGCTGAAGAGGCTTCCACTGTGCACCTTGATCAAAGGTGATGTATGAAGTCAGGTGTTCTGGTCCAAGCTTACTAAAGATCTGGCTAAAGTTACTTGTGAGTTGAGATGCAATGAAGATCCCTCGCACACCCTCAACTGGATGCAGATCAGCAAAAGTTGTGTCTGATACTTCACTGTGGATAGTAAAGCAAATTAACTAATAATACTAGTACAGTACTACACCTGTAAATATACTTTCTAATACAGTACAGTACTTTAATTATTATTATCAATATTATTATATAATCTGTCATTGATGGTCTTAATAGGGCAGAAGCCAATGTTAACATCCAATGTGTTCTAAGTTTGTATTTCACTCACACTTAAGAAGGGGTTCTCTACCCGTGGGCACTCACCTACACGACTATAACATTGAAATTCCTCAAAAACCAAACACAGCATTTCACACTTATTTTTTAATAAAGGACACTAATTTCTTGGTACAGATAACAGATATCACTTATTAATTAGTGATTCATAATTTTGACAGGCTTTAATTTAAATTCTTTTTTGTTTAAATTAAGTAAACACTTATCAAACTTTCCCATTCACAAATAAATGGCACACCCCTTGAGCAACATTAAGACTGAGCATCTGAGTACTGTACTAGTGACAAATGTTACAGCTATGATGCAACCAGATGACATTTTATGTCTGTGAGTAAGCTCAACATGAGTTCGTGCAAAGTTGAACGGGGTCCAAAGTACACGAATGTTATGTTCCTGGGATCCCCACAGAAATACAAATTTGCGTATATTCGGGCTCCCCTGTGTATATACGTACAGCCCTTTTTTATTGCCGACATGCAACTTCAGAGTTCAATACGCCGCTCATTAGTAAGTTCATTATCTTGACTTTTTCTTTGAATGTTCTTGCAGTATGAGCTCTTTTCTTTTTCTCACTCTCACCACCACGAGCACTGCCACTAATTTTCCTTTTAGGGGCCATGATTGCACTAAAATTCACCAGTAGAAAAAACTTTATCAGCACAAACGCCCGGGAGATTATTACGGAACCAGAGCGAGAGAGAGGATGCCAGAGTTATGTTATGGTTATTTTTCAACTCGCACTGTCAAGTATATATGCGTAATAAAAAATATAAAATTAGAGGGGCTTGGGCTAAAATCAGGGTTGATTACGGACAACACGAACCAAACTCAATTATTCCTATAAAAAGTTAAGTTCTTCAGTGAATGACTTTGAAATTTAACAAAATGTTTCCAAATACAATAGAGTACATACTTCACTTCAATGAGTTTCATCATAACAACGACAGCAATGAAATACGACACCTCAACACATTAACGATACATTTCAATACAATAACGATCAGTAGTGCAAGTTGATAGTCACTCTGGGCAGCCATCTTGACTTCAGCGAGCGTGTGAACAGGTGTGGTGTAATCTACTCTGTTACCTGTGACCGTATTGCATAATGATGATAATGTTCAAGATTTACCTGTGTGATCTGTTTGTTGATTTACCACTAAACTTCACTGACTTTGAAACCGAAGGATCAGTTGGTGGTACTGGGGAAGCAGAGCAGTGTGAGAGTGTGGGGGCAGGGGGCACTAACACACACTCCCCTGCCTCGGATGACAGCAAACAGTCTCATTAACCAGTTCAATGTGTGTTTAAAGATTAGCTGCTATTAACTCTACATACAGTATTAATGTGTGGATAAGTGGTTGTAATTTTTTGTGGGGTTTTATAAGGGGTGAAAGTGTCTGAGGGCTGGCACCAATTGACCCATTTAGCATGTAAACTATACTCACCACATTAACAATTTTCACTTTAACGACTGTACATCATTAAGGGGAGTGTCCGGCTGAAAATACGATGAAAATTGGAAAATTACGAAAGTATTCAGAAAATTACGGAGGAAAGCTGTTGCCTATGGCTATCTACTGACGTACTTTGATTGTGTAATTCATATTTATGTAGCTATGAATAATTGTTCTAACCCCCTTCATTTAGAGGGCCCTACTGTTTATGTGGCAAAAGCTGGAGAAAAGTATTTATAATTAAATTTTGGTGTAAAGTAATACCATTCACTTAGTAAAAATCAGTATCTGGCAACTTTCCCAGCTCGCTAAGAACAGAACCAGAGTCTTGTACACTGCAGTATCACACAAAAGAAGTGAGGGAGAAGTAGGACCATCTGTTGCTTTCGCACCACCCAATCGGCCTGTATTTCAGAACGAGTTTTTCTAACCTTCAGGTCCTTAAGGCTCAGCCATTTATGGGCAAATTTTAATAAAACAAAACTAAGTAGTAATATAACATACTGTACAAGGTTGAACATATAGATTTTCTTGGCTTAGTTTATTATTTGGAGGAAAAAATGTTTTAAGTTGGGAAAAAAATGTACTGTATGCACCCAAAACAAAAGTGAAAATAAAAAATGTTTATTTGTCACATCAAGAGGAGTAAATTAACTATATTCCACATGAATTTCAATGTAATCTAGAGAAGTTATGGAGAAGTAGGATTTTCAAAATTGATAATATAAGGGAAAAATCTGGTATTAGGGATTAGGCAGAACTGATTCAGGGGTATAGCAACAATGTGTATGGTGTCCTTAATTGCTGACAGGAAATTTATATTGATTGATCAATTATTAACAAATTTTGCGCTTCACCCAGACGTTCCCCTTCACTACAGGGTTGCCACTTTTACTCATTTATTTGGCTAATACCACACAATTTTATTGAGCTCAAAGGGGGGATCCAAACACAAGGGGTTAACTTATGAGGGATATATTTATTTTAAAAAATCCCATGGCCTGTATTCCTTATTTCGTTAACATTTAACCATAATTACTGTAACCTTTTTCTTTGTTTAAAATCATTCTATTTAGCTTCAATACATATACTTACCAACACCTGTACTTTTTTTCTCTGTCCAACCTTTCTCTGTTAATATGCTGCCAAATACAGACTCGCCATTCATTCATATACGTATACAATTGTACTGCAATAACAGATACCAAAGATCTGCCAAGTTTACACCTGTTGCTCACACATTCAAAATATTACTATAAAACAGCCATGCCTTCACTTCCCCTTCTCATCAAGTTAAGTACCCACCTGCACCTGGGTGGACTAGAAGTGCTCCATGATTTAATTAAAAAGCCTTAAGATTTGAGGTAAATGCTGCCACACCCCAAGATGCGGTCTTCTCCATGGCTTACAGACTTCCTCAGTGACCGACGCCAAGCTGTACGCTTCCAAGGGGCTGTCTCCACCTTTCAGTCACTCACCTGTGGCGTCCCCCAAGGCACCAAGATGGGACCACTCTGCTTCCTTATGCTTATCAATGATGCCCTAAGAGAAACCCCCGCTCGCTGGAAATATGTCGACGACTCCACCATTGGGATCAGCGTCAACAATTCTGCTCCCGACTATACCGCCCTTCAGGATTTATTGAACAGTCTCCAAAACTGGGCCACCAACAACCACGTCACCATCAACCATACCAAGACCATGGTTATGCACATCAACCTCTCCTCCGACATTGTCCCACCCCCTTCCATTAATTTAGGTCCGAACACACTCCAGGTTGTAGATTCCACGAAGCTCCTCGGCGTCACCATAGACAACAAACTAAATTGGAAACCCTCCAAACTCCAAGTCCCTAGGATTTCCTGCACCCGAGCTCCTCAGTGTTTATTCAACATTCATACTTCCCCAGCTCACCTATGCCTCCCCTACTAAATGCCACACAACACACCTAAAGAGGGCATGCAAATTATTCTCTCCCCTTTCTACTCCACATATCAAGAAGCGCTCAACACACTGACCCTTTCGACTTTCACTGACCATCACCACGACCTCATCTGCAAATTTGGTAAGAAGCTTCTGCACCATCCTCGACACCAGCTCCTACTACCACCTGAGATCCCTAGCCCGAGAATTGCTGTTCGACACCACAACCGCATCCAGCCCATACGTGCACGAACTGATCGCTATAAGAACAGCCCAGTCCTAACCATTGTAAAAATTATCAATAACTTGTAATAAACCAGTGTATTCAATCCCAGTAAATCCTACTTCTTGCACTGTCACTATGTTGAAATGCCCTGTAGTCTGAGCTTTTCCCCATCTAGTTATTATATATCTTATTTATATCATTTATGTTATTTGTATATCATTTGTAATTCGAAACCCATTCCCCAATTATGTAACTGTATATTTTCAGCCTTTTGGCTGCCAAGCTCTTTCAATAAACCGTTAATTATTATTATTATTATTATTACAGGGTATTATTATTTACATATTTCTTATTTCATACCTTAACCAGGTGTCAACCCAGTTTGTCGATGGATTGAAGTATAAAATACGTTCCAGGGAGAGAGAAAAACGCACTTCATGATGGGCTGACCTTGGAACTGATGACACATACAAGTTGGACATGAACTGATCATGAGCTACACACACCATCACCTAAAATAAAGAAAATAAGATGTAATAAAAAAAACATGACAATGCTATAGCTTCATCAATTATATATGATCAAAAGAGATTTTGCATACCTTTATGAAACCATACTACATACAATGAGTAAATCCACATTAATATTTCAGAAAGACTACCTGTACACTAAAGTTCCTAGTACAAATTATCTCTACAGCAGAAAATGAAGAAATCCATGGCTGATGTTTGGGTGAGTACCAAGAACTCTACAGGTGACCACCACTATTACAAAATACCTCTATGGGAAAGACCCCATGCTACTCCACACAACCCTGCTAAATTCCACACTCATAACCAGCATGACCAAATCCACATGGGGAATGCAAATACTGTATGGCTGTATTATAAGTGTCATGGAATACTAGCATCAAGGCTAATAGTAGTTCGATATAAGCAACAGCAAAAAACCAACATTGTAAGGATCTACTGACACCAGGAGTAAATTTTTAGACCGCATAATATGAATCACACACCATGCTTATCCTGGGTAAATTTTGTCCAATTGCGATGGTTTAAAAAATTATCACAGCTCTACAAACTTGCCATAATTATATGAAATCATTTTTAACACTACATTGACTGACAGCCATAATGTTAAGACATTAACGTTATTTTATTTATACAGTATCACATAGAATTTTTTTTACAAACATAGATATGTAAAAATAAATAATTCGTGAACAGAAACAAAAGGATATTTTTTTTATAAATATTTCTTGCAATGTTCTAAAACTTGCTTCATAATAACTGAAGTAATTTCAGTACAGTACAGCATTATATTTAGCATGGTAATAGGTATAAATTATATTATAGAGCAATATTCTAAAATCATATACAGTTGGTGTATGAGAAAAAATAAATAAATTGACAGTTGGCTCATTGCTAATTTCCATCCTGGGTATGCATAGGGCATGAAGGCCAGATACATTCTCCAGAACCTGAGAATGTCATCAAAACACATTCCTGGTACGTTGAGTAAGGGGCGATATGATCAAGGTATATAAATGGAAGTCGGGGCAAATCAATGGTGATATAACAAAAGTATTCAAACTATCCAACCAGGAGCGAACTCGTAGTAATGGTTTTAAATTAGACAAATTTAGATTTAGTCAAGTGATAGGTAAACATTGGTTTGGAATGGATGAGTGGAACAGGTTACCAAACATCATCATTAACTCGAATACACTGGATAGCTTCCAACATAGGTTAGATGGATATGAGCAATAGGGATTGGGTGTAAACGGGACTGCCCAGTATGGGCCAATAGGCCAGCTGCAGCTTCCTCTATTCTTATGTTCTTATATCTTCCCGCAGATATAAGCACTACACTACTTCAATCTGATATAATTTTGTCTTAAAAATAGTTTCCCAGTAGTAGGTAGTAGGCAGCTACCAAACAGGGAGGTACTACCGCCTGGGAAGATATTGGAAGCATAATGAATTGTCTAATGGTAGACCCTGCTGCCATATGGCATCACAAAAATTGTGACCAAGTCCCAGGTTGCTGATCTGACTTTCTGCCTCATTTACACACAATTGCAGGGTCTCAATTGTTTCTCTTACTATTGACAACACAACATACATACAGAATATTGTTTTTCACTCTTGATCTTTTTTTAATTTTTGTATTTCTTTATAGTTCTTTATTGTTATTATTATTATTATCATAATTATTATTTTATTTTCAATTTTGTATTAATTATAAATTTTATTTACTATGAATTATTATTATTATCATTACATTTTCGCCCCCCAGGCCCCTATGTGGGTCAGTGACCTGTGCCCGGGTGGGCTAATCCCCATAAAAAAAAGGGAAAAAAAAGAAGAAAAAAGTTACATGTCAAGAAGACAATGGAAGCATTATCAAAGAAAATCTTGTGTTTGCAACTCTAATATCATTTTACACCAAGTTAAATTTGATGGTGGCCGAGCTTTAATTTTAGCATTAAAATTCCTCTAATTACTATACTGTACTGTAACTAGTATCATTATTTATTGCAGTACAGTATTGGATGATAAACATAACGGTAAACCAACCAATCCAGACAAAGTTTGGAAATTTTTTATATTCATAAAATATCTCGGTTTAATCTTTACAGTATTTCAAAACATTACAAAATAAATTTCACACAATAGGCTGTATAATGCATTCCTGAGGATTTCATACCTTTCTACCAATTTCATTAAACTATCTTATTAAGCATTTTTAATATCTTTCAGTGCACTGTATGGTTCCATACTGCACAAGATGCAAGTTTCTTCAGATTTGACACACTTTGTAAATACAATGAAATGGGGTGCAGATCAGTGAATTGCAGACTGAAAATCTACAGATATTGCATAATTTACAAAAGTTATTTTAAATCCTCTAATTTTTTTTATTTTGCACTCAAGACCTCAGTGTTAGTTATCTCTGGTAGTAAATTATGTTTAAAAATTTACCAGAGAACTTAAAGAACAAATCTGACATCATTTTCTATTCATACCTGGCCTTCAGAGATATTAGCAACATAATAGTGCTGATGTTCAAGGGTATTTGGAAACTCAGCCCTCAAAAAGGGTCCTCCTTGGTATGATATCCACATCTGTAGAGTTGCATCTTTAGATGATGATCCCAGAAGGTGCTGAAAAAATTAAACAAATCAATATCTAAGTGTTTTCTAGTCCTACACTACAAACAGAGCCTTTAAAGCAAAGTAGTAATTAAAAGAAAAAATCGAACGTTACCCCTTTTTTAGCATTAATTCACTTAACATTAATTCGCTTTAGTACTAAAAAATTTGATACCCTTTCTCAGAGAAAATGTACCATCATCAACAAGAAACAAAGTATGAATGAATGAATCAAAGTGAGCAGCTCCTAATTGACTTCAAAGGATGGACATTTGTTGTCAAACAAAGATTCACCTTACCACTTTCTTCACAGCAAAGAGGAATTCATCTTTTACTTCAAAGTCCTCTACACCTGTTATGACTGTTGTTGGTCTGGTTCCATCCCTGCAAAAATCAAATTTTGTCATATTTTCTAAACCAAGTCTATAGCAATCCATGATGATCCTTACATGTTAATAAGAGTTACCTTATTAAACTCCTGAGGAGGGTGTTTGTATTGTAACAGTTGTGACTGACTGACAGAGGATTCTGTATCTGAATTGGGTCTCACTTATTAATATAAATTGTACAAGGCCTAATATAGTATACGGATGCTTATGTTTTTGATAAAGCTCTCATAAATGAAAAACTCATAAACCACATTTTCTCATTAGCCCCTAGTACGTAACTGAAGATGCGTTCTTTACGAAAAAACAAAACAAATCCCATTCTCAACCTCTGTTTGGTTACTGTGTCATTCTAAATTCCCACTGCTTTGTTTACAATGAGAAAACTCTGCAGTCACAGACACTTCAAATGTGACCAATGATAGTTCAAGTATCAGTCTTCAAGGACTCTTAGTTCCTTCCAGGCAACCTGTGTACTCTTTGTTTAAAAAAAAAAAAATTACCTTCCCAATGCCCATTTTCTCACTCGGTGAACAAATTTGGTCTTTGAGTCTAACATATACAAGCAGGAGTGATGTAGAATATGTATTCAGGATTTAACTTGTCCCAATCTTAATAGATTCTCACCCACTCTTTTCTCCAGTGAATAATCAGTTCACTACAGTGATGCCACTTTTATTAAATATTTTATTTGGCTAACACCAGACAATTTTATTCAGCTCATATAGGACTCGATACACAAGTGGTTAAGAGCACTAGCGTAGCTGGGGGCGGTCCTCCCGGCGGCACTTTTGGGTCTGCTCATCACCCATATCTGCAGCTACTGGAGACGTTAATCCATCCCTTTGTATCGGCGGCAAGTTAATCCTTGTCGTGTCTGACCTAACACCTGACCCACATCATCACGGCCACGTCATGAGCTACACCCTTGCTATGCCCCCCCCCCCGCCACACACACAACCTGTAACCTGTTGAGGATTAAGGAAACAACTTCAAACAAGTACGCCAGTGAGCTCATGTGGTGTGGGTCAGGTGTTAGGTCAGACACGACGAGGATTAACTTGCCGCCGATACAAAGGGAAGGATTAACGTCTCCAGTAGCTGCAAAACCATGCAGTCTCGGGTCATATCAGTTCATGTACAGCCGACCAATCCACCAGTTACAAGCAATTCACTTCAGTTCTGCACAAGTCTCCATCGTGACAAGACGAGGGGAGGCTAGACGACTTTTAAGTTCTCTTGTGTTTTCGATCCAGTTATTTACTTCGTTGGAAGACATAATACTATAAGGTAAGAAATATTAAAGTATTGGTTAAAAAATATTGATGTGACTTTTGCTGCGGTACTGAGATTAAATATTAAGATTTTGTTTCACAGCATTGCGATTTTATACTAAGACACTATCCTCACTGGGGTACAGACAAAAGCCCCCCCGACAAAAGCCACCCAGACAAAAGCCCCCCAGACGAAAGCCCCCTACTTTGATCGGGGTGGCTTTTGTCTGACAACAGTAAGGACTTTCAAAAGTTACGGACATAATTAAATAGTTGAGGGTAAAATATACTGTTCTTCTCTGTGGTTAATTATTGGTTAGGGCATTAGAAACATTTCTAGTTGAAAACAGGGACAAGCTAGTGAGTAATGGAGTTAACTATGCCAAAGAAATTTGCAATGATCTGGGGATAGTCATGGAGCGTCAGCGTCGACCCAAAAAGAAGAAACAAATGTTTGGTGAAGGATCACGAGATGCTGAATTGCCATACGACATTGAATTGAGGAGAGAAATGTTTTCTTCGCTGGACAGAGTGATCCAAGAAATAACTTTGAGATTTCAACAGCTTCATGAACTTGCTGAGAAATATGCCTTCCTTACCCCATTGAATCTTTTGGATGATAAATATGAGTGTCAAATAGATCACGATCACGACGACATTGATAAAGAGGAGTTCCTCGTTGAGAGAAAAAGACTTCAGCATTTTGTTGCTGTTGCTGCTATAACTATTAAAGACAGAATACAGACGTGGAAAGAAGGCCCCCTTGAACTTTTGCAGTTTATTCAAAAGTATAACCTTGGGAACTCGGTTCCAAATATAGTAATAATGCTGAGGATTTTCCTCACAATTGCTGTTAGTGTTGCTACCTGTGAGAGGAGTTTTTCGAAACTAAAACTGATCAAGAATTACTTAAGATCTACTATGAGCACCTTGTGGTTGAGAAATCTTGCCATACTGTCTATAGACCGACAATTGACAAATGAAATAGTTTTTGACAATGTCATTGAAGAATTTGCCAACAAAAAAACAAGAAAAGTTACTTTGTAGAAAGTTGTAGTTTTCATTTCAGAAATAAAGATGGTCCTAATTTTTTACACTTTTTTACTTTTTTCCCTATCCTATATGTCGTTTTTGCTTTTTGTTTAACTGTTACTTATAAAGTTTAAGTATGTTTGGTGTGTATTTAAAGCATACTATATTTGAGTATGTGAAAGTACAGTAATATTTAATACTATTTAATATATATATATATATATATATATATATATATATATATATATATATATATATATATATATATATATATATATATATATATATATATATATATATATATATATATATATATATATATATATATATATATATATATATATATATATATATATATATATATATATATATATATATATATATGAGTGAGTCAATATGTATTTTTGTAAAGTAACTCATATTTGCACACACCTTACGCACTGGTTAAGAGTAATCATAGGTGCTTACTCTCACCATGAAAAACTCTAAAATCCACAAACCCTAAACTATATAATGACCCGGATTATACATTGAAAAACTGTGGGTGTCTAGGAACAATTGCCACCTAATAACACTATAATACTGTACAATACAAACCTGAATGTTGCACATAAAGCAAAATAAAAACTACAATTCCTAACCTGAAGAGTTCTGTTGAAGAAACCACGGATGCTGATCCTGATGGCTCCTCTCTCTCAACATACAGGGTAGGTGGGAACGTGGTTTCTGACCAGTAATAGGACTTAACGAACATTCCAATAATCCGCCAACTCTCTCCAAAATTTTCACTTATCCACAACTGTGTAAATAAGAAAGGAAACAATTAAATAAAATCATTAGTGAAGAAAATTATGTATCCCACGTGATGCATCAAAGTTTATTACTATAATTGCACATAAAATGGAGAGGTTGATTTTATAAAACTAATTTGTCACAAACTCTCAAAAGATTTTAATTTGATTAGTATTTATAGAGCACCATGATGCTGTAGTTTAAGTGTTCCACGAGCAGTAACATAAAAAACAAATCCCCATGTAATTAAAATATTGTTTCAAAATGAGATAAACCATAGAACTAAACCTTTAAAAATAAAGGAGCAAAACACATTGATAAGTCTAATAAGGTGATGTAGCTACAGTCCTACTATAGCTGTACCAATCATGAAGTTTCTTAATAAGAACTACTGCCAAATGATAAAAATGCAATAACGTAAAGGTAAGTGATATTAACTAACCTTGCGCTCAGGGTCCTCCATATCATAAATCAACAAGACTTCTGCATTAAATGGATGATGGGTAACTTCAGATGGTGTGAATGGCACTTTGACATTAGAAACAGTTTTCCCATAATCTTGAGTCACAAAAATGTATTTATTGATCACATCAATGAAGACAAACTGAAATTAAATAGAGACAAGAAATAAAGGAGATTAAGTTTGGTTTAAAAATTAATTATAATTTAAATAAATTGCAGCAAAAGTCATGAAAGGATTTGTATTCAAAATACCTGTACTTTACATCTAAAAATGGATTCTATAACAGAGGAGTGTTGCTGTAGTGTCCACACCTGCTCATAATTAAAACTTAAAGGTGCACACTACTATTTGACATAAAACAAGAACTAGATCTTTTCATGGCTCCTACCACACCATGTACAGTGTGTATACTGTACAATAAAAAAAAGTAATTTCTTATCAAAATTGTTAACAAATCAATCTTTCCTTTACAATCTTTCCTTTACAATGAGAATACAAGCAGCCAATGCTTGTAGCTTAACGAGTCACAATTCATCTATGTAAAATCTCTATTTACCCAATTTCATGAGCCAGTCATTCTAGTTACTTGAAGCAAATTCACCTTCTGCATTTACCGTACATAAAATATAAATATCTTTTTAAATTAAAAACAAACATATTTACCCTTGATGTAAATCTATCATTCTTGTAAAACTTCCTGATGATAGCTGGTCTCCCACCAAAAGTTCTGAACTTGTTTGTTTCATTCTTGAAGGTGGTTCCATAATCATCTGAGATGAAAACATGTGAGGCCGAAGCATTTGTCTGGGTACCATCTCGAGTGACACACACCACCACTTTACTTCCTTCTCCAGCCCAGTCTATCATCACCTGGTGGTGGCTGTCATTCAGGAGAAACTGAAAAGAATTCAAGTTAAAACGTAAGTTTAAAATATTTCTTAAAACACGTAACTTCTTACATTTTCAGCGCTGGATGTACTGTAGCTGACAATATACATATCCTTAACAATGGAACATCCATTGTACTATACAGTACTTACACTCTTAATAAAAAAAAAAACATATCATCCAGTACACTTAAGTAACTGGCATTTTTTATATCCACCAATACAAATATTTAATTTATTTATTACAGCACTGTACAGTTATAATTTACAGTATTATTTGTACTGCACTGAATTGTTAAATGTGCAGTCAACTCTCATGTAATGTACGTTAGGCAGACATTAATTTCCCATCGAAACACATGATTTAAATTGTGATATACAGTATTTCAAAACATTCCAAGTTTTATTTACATAAAATTACCTCTAATAATGACAGACTGGTGAAATATAGGGATAGAAACTTAAAAACAGTGAATAAGTAAATTACAGATAGGAATGGTGTCAAGAACACAAGTGACAAAGGAAGAGTGGTAGTTTAGATGTGAAAATGGATGTGTTCAGGCATTGTGCATAAGGTGAATGCTCTGTAGATAACACTAGACCCTTAGGCTCAACATGTAACATCATTTTTGGTGTTTTCATATTTTTGGTCCATGCAGTATCTTGTTTTATCAAAAAGCTTGATTCAAAGTCAATTTTAACATTTTTCAACATACAAGTACAGTAAGACCCCCAAGTTTGCGGATTCTTATTTCGTGGTCCTCTATTATTCGCGGATGACACCCTGGATGTACCCAAGAATGTCTGTGGGTAGTTTTAAAGTTGCTGGCATTTTAGCGGCTGGGACAGGAAGCCATTCGTTCTAGAGACAGTAATTTCCTTTACCTGTACAGTCGGCCCTTCACATACGCGGGTTTAGAATTCACGGATTTGCAAATACGCGGATTGCCCCGCCGGAGGAATATTCTGTACATTGAAGTAATTGAAGTACATTCAAATCGCGCGCGGCACCGAACACGGGACACCGCCCGCTCCCGCAACCTCACACACACACACACACACACACGCATAGCTCTCCCTCACTCAGTCAGTCTCGCTGTAACCACGCTTGTGTTGACATCAGCATTGTAGTTGCAAAATTATTACATTTCCGTGAATGTATTATATCAAGCACAGTATGAATAGAATATCACTAATATAAGAGTATTTTAACCGAAACTACTAAAAAAACGAGTAACATATCTTGAACATCGGAAGGTTAGGTAAAGTCTCTTGTTTTCGTCATGTATTTTATCCTATTTTACATTGAAATACATCACGTTTCAGCAAAACTACTATTTATTTCTGAGAATATATTCATTCAGGCACAGTTTAGGTAAAATATACATGTGCTGTAACATTTTTTTAATTGAAAACGATTCGAAAAACACGTACCCTCTAGCCCTGTTCAAGGAGAAGACTGGGAGGAGCTGTTTGGTGCTTAAGACGATGACAAGGAAAATGATTTTGATGGATTTTAATGAAAATATTCAGAAAGACCCTGGCACTGTCAAGGAAAGTGGCTGCTGAAGGCTTCCGGGACATGGCAGAGGACGAGATTAGGGAGCTAATTGAAGAGCACGACACTGAGCTGACCGAGGAGGATCTACAGGAGTTAGTAGACTCAGGCAAGGAAGAGGAAGCGAAAGGGAAAGAGGATGAGGAAGAGCACCAAGAAATAACGTTGGAGAAGTTGGGGGAGATGACCAGGAATATTGAGGCACTGAAAAACCTGGCCTATAGTATGGACCCCCTCCATGGTGCGTGCCCTGAAATTCATGCGAGGGATGGATGACGTTTTCGCTCCATACAAAAACATCATGGAAGAAATGAATGAAAGAGACAACAACTCCCCATCACCATGTTCTTTGATCACCGAAGGAGAGATTTAACACCAATCACTGGCGGCAGTGAGGAAGCAGCTGAATCCACCGTCGCCCCCACTTCACCACCCGTTATGGAATTGAGTGACGATGAGCCCGATGACCCCCGTCCTGTCGCCGAGGATAGGAACTGTACAGTAAAGTGAAGTTTTTTATCTCTTTTTTTTTAATAGCTTTTCTTGCCATGTTTATTGTTTGTAAAAATGTACAGCACAGTACAGTTCAGTACTGTACATAGGAAGTGGAGGTGCAGTTATTCACAAAACATTTGTGTTTGTTGTCGGCAGTAGTGACGGTGGAGGTGGAGGAGGCGGAGGAGGGAGCGAGTTGGGAGGAGTGGTGACCTTGGACGCGGGAGCAGGGACGAGATGCCAGCCAGTACATTACGGGTGTATTAATTGTTTTTATAGCTATTTTTGCATTTTAATATTAAATACTGTACATTACATTTCAACAAAACTACCATTTATTTCTGAGAACATGGAAATGTAATATTTTTGCTGAAATGATGTACGTATTACAGTGGAAAGTGACGAAAGCAATGACTCGCTTTCTTTCGTTCAAAAGATGTTACCGTAATCGCTTTTCGAATGGTTTTCAGTTGTGGGATTATAAGGCTAATGATAGGATAGAATATTATTGTAATACAGTACGAGTACAGTACAACAGTTTTTTAACTGAAAACCATTCGAAAAGCGATTACGGTAAAATCTTTTGAACAACGAAAGAAAGCGAAAGTCATTGTTTTCATAATTTTATCCCACTTTCCACTGTACAGTAATATGTACGTCATTTCAGCCAAAATATTACATTTCCATATTTATTTCTGAGAATATATTCATTCAGTCACAGTTAAGGTAAAATATACTTGTGATGTAATATTTTAATGAAAATACGGTATCGTAGTTTTCTTTTGTATCAAATTTAATTAACAAAGATTGATGTTTCAAATGTAATGAACAAAAATTTATGTACAGTATCTATAAATAAACTTTAACAAATGAATACTTTGTTTTACATCGTCCTGTGTATACCATACCATGCATTTGGCTACTTTGGGCTAGCTATGATGACGCAAGAGATCTGCCCTGGCGACTGTACCGACACTCACAGCTGGTGGTGCGTTGGTGCGTCGTTTCCATTGTTTACTGGTAGTTACTGGTAAATATTTTTCAACCTAACGAAACTATTACCCTTTTAGAGGTCGACCCCCAATTTTTTGCAAAATAATTTGGTCTTAAAAACTCGAAATACACACAGGTATATACGGTAAATAAGGACATGGGGGGCCAGGGGTTTTTTAGGGGGGGGGGGGCAGCAAAAGTACACGGATTTTTAACATTCACGGGTATCTCTGTTACCTAACCCCCGCATATGTTAAGGGTCGACTGTATTGTAAATATGTGTGTGTGTGTGTGTGTGTGTGTGTGTGTGTGTGTGTGTGTGTGTGTGTGTAGACACACACAAAACATACAAATAAATAATAATGGGAAAATCCTCTCACAAAATTTCTGAAACAAATTTATTAAAAATGTGAGTCTACTCTCATGTCTACTCCGTACTTTATTAATAACAAAGCACGGAGTAGACTTGAGGGTAAACTGTCACATTTGTATTAAATTTGTTTTTGATTGTACATATGTACTGTATTGTATAGTATATGTGTGTATGTAGAGACACACACACACACATACATACATACAATACAGGGAAAATAAATAATTATCCTAAGGGCAATCATATACAGTGACCCCTCGTTTAACGAAATTTCGGTTAACGAACTGCCTTCCATAAGGATCTTCAATTCGGTTAACAAACAAAAATTCGGTTAACGAATTTCTTACGAACCGACTTCAACATGTTTTCGCTTGCACTGACCAGGCAACCAGCTTTAGCATCAGTCAGCCAATACATTAATCGGTTCTAGGGCTTAAATTCCTTACTATTTTAGTAAATATCAAGAAGTTTATACTATTCAATAATTTTAAAAGTTTAATATTCAATTTTTCAGGCATTTTAACAATTATTGAACATAATTGAAGGTAAAGTGACTAGTTTAATGCGCGGCATCCATCCTCTTAACACAGCAAACAGGCGTTAGTCTCTCTCCGTTTTCACTGGAAGTAACATCTTGCTTGAGACTCTCTTCAACTAAACACTTTTTTTCTGTGTTTCCAAGCAAATTATTGGTCATTTTGAGATATATTTTACATATTGACAATATATAATGCAGTGCAGTGTTGATTTAAAGAAAATAATCTTGAATTACACCAAGAGAACTAAAATTTTATGGGTGAAATGGCGCCATGGGGTGACTTCTCTTCCACCCCAATGCCTTCTCTTCTCCCTTATCCTCCACCACCATTCTAATTCCCATTATCATCATCATTATCCAGGAGCCTTCTACATACACACCTCAAAGTAAGTGAACTTTTCTACCATTTTTGTTGAATTTAGGAAATTTTCGGTGAGCTGGAACCAATTACCCAAAAACCCATTGAAACAATGGTTTCGGTTAACGAACTTTTCGGTTAACGAACGACCTTCTGGAACGGATTGAGTTCGTTAAACGAGGGGTCACTGTAAAGGGAATACTGTATACATTTCTTTGTACACAAGTAAAAATGTAACCCTCCACCCCCCAGTCAGCAAATGTTATTCACGGATTTTGTGATTTGCAGAGGCCATTTTGAGAACCTAACCCTCGCAAATTTGAAGGGCATACTGTACTTTACTATGCTGGTCAGACTCACTGGTCTATAATTATTCGTGGGGTGACGATCATCCTTCTTGAAGACAGGACTCACATACACAGGAACAAGGTGCCAAACACTTATTAAAGATCATGAGAAGTTTCCAAAATTTCATATATTTGGTTAAATAATGTAGAAACTATATTAATGAATTGGCAACTCAACTACAACGATGACTGCCACAAGATTCTCGGATAAAATTTTCTTCATTATTTAGGCCAATATAAGCATATTTGGAAACTTCTCATGATCTTAAATAACAATGAATAGTTTATTATTATAAAAATTCTACCTTTGGATTGTTTAATATTTATTCTGACAGTAATGCAGCCGAAAATAGATCCACCAATCACAATCACCTTTACATACAGCTTTCCTTTACCAAGTATTGCCAGGTAAAATTGCTAGTACGAGACTCAGTGTGGGGTCGCTGGATCTTTGGCTGACGGGAGCCACGAATTACCCAAAAGTACCCAAAAGTACCCAAAAGTACCCAAAAGTATAGCAAATAAGGGTAAAATCTTAACGAATATCTGTTACACATACACAAAACATGTTTAATAATATTTTCAGTGTAATTTTGTAAAAATAATTTGTATGATGAAATAATAAACAGCGAAAAACTTTCAGTATTGGCGAACGCTAAATTCCAAAGAGTTCGTGAACAAGGGAGATGACTCAGATCCATCGTGATGCACTTCGCTAACCTAACGAAAAGTAAATCCTACGGCTATGTTAAATACCCCAAAGTAACAGAAACATCGGTAATTATATCTCCATTTTGGATGGGTGCCTCTTTGGAATTTAGCATTTTTCACTGTTTATTATTTCATTATTTTGACTACATTTCAATGAAAACATTATTAATTAGGTTTTATTGATGTAAAACATATATTCGTTAAGATTTTACCCTGGTTTAATATACTTTTGGGTACTTTTGGGTGCAGTTGGGTACTTCTGGGTAATTCGTTGTACCGCTCGTCGGTGGGGCAGTCATCAAAATGAACCGTCATGTTTTGTTTTGTCTAAAAATTGCCTGTAAAACTGAAAAGTGGAAACCTGCGATTAGCCAATGAACTAATAATAACCTCAATCAGTAGTTGGGGCTGAAACTGCAAATTTACCAATTTAAATGACCAGACCTAAGCCTTTTTTTAACCTGAATATGAAACCAAATACTCAAAACAGAACATGATGTGTGTTGGCACGTAACTTACCAAACTTATCTCAGGTTTGTGTGTGGTGTCACCTGCGTCACGTCTCCTCCTGACGTGTTCACTGTGGTCCGCCTCTGGCCCCTCCACACCATCGTCTTCACCAACAGTAAATATTGTCGGTTCAGACCTTTTATGTCTTGCTATACTGATGAATTTTGATGGTATGCCATTTCTTTCGCAGTGGCACAGCTCTAGAGTAAAACACAACACAATAACAAAGCTCAAGAAGACTGCCCTGAGATGCAGATCAATCATATTCCCTGCGGTGTTATGGTTCCTGCCTGACGGACTGCCTGTCTCTCAGTGATCATCTGGGACAGTGTTGCGCTGTAAACACGAACAACAATGTTGACCAGGGCTGCCAACTCGGATTTCCAAATGTCGCTAGGCTGGTACCTAAAAGTAGCTAAATGTCGCTAAATTATATTTTCATAATGCCGACTATATTGGACGGAGTATAAATAAAATGCATTATGTAAAAATAAAAATATTATTTTTTTAAAGTTTAATGTGCACACTTACCTATTATTCAATAGTAATTGCATCCCAGTCCTCTTCGAAGTGTGAACAACTGTAGAGCTGGAAGCATGTGAAGTGCTTGGTTCAGGTTCTCTTGTAACTGTATGCCTCCACAGTCCCTATCTTTCTTAAAATATCACTAGGAAGTTCATAACAGGTGTTCTGTCTTTTTAACCCATACTTTATTGTAAGAATTGCCTTTAATGTCGATAGTTTCATTTTGTTGCGCAATTTTGATTTCACAAAGTTCATATTACTAAATGTGCGCTCTACATCTGCGTTTGAATGCGGAAGAGATAAGGCAGCGAGTGCAATTTCAGCCAGATCATGGTAAGGGTTTTCACCTGTCGCATCTCTGTAATTTGCCACTTCTGACCACAATTTTAGGGTGTTAGATGTTTCTGTCCAGATTGTGTGATGCAGTTTTTTCCACTGGAAATCAATCTTGGTAAGGGTGCTGGAATCTTCTGTAAATAAGTGTGCCAAACCAAGTATATCTGATTTAATAGGCTTCAAGCATTCATCGACACTCAGAAAAGAAATAGACTGCAGCACACGAATGTTGTCAGGTAAGCGTTGACCAAGTTGTTTTATGAGTTCAACCCGTTCAAATGCATTGTCCCTGTAACCCCGTTGCTATATATTATGGCTCGAAATTAGGAAAACCGAGTATCCAGAAAGTCGCTAGATTTCTGTGGATATCTTTAGGTTTGGGACAAGTCGCAAATCGCTCTAAAATGTCGCTAGAACAAAACAAAAAGCTCTAGATCTAGCTACAAAGTCGCTAAGTTGGCAACTCTGATGTTGACCCATCAATTTCATTTTATATTCCTCAAATCAAAGGAGCCAATATCTCATTAAAAATTATCCAAGCGTAAATCCATTTTTTTCCTTGTTTCATCTCCTCTAAGAAGTAAATGGATGTGAGGTTCTGTTCGAGGAATTATTATAACATTGACAATTTTGTTAGCGCTCCCCCCCCCCCCTTCCGGCTGCGTCTCTCATGTGAGGATGACTCACTTCCATGAACATGTTAAGAACATAAGAATGGAGTAAACTGCAGCGGGCCTATTGGCCCATACTGGGCAGTCCCGTTTATACCCAACCCCTATTGCTCATATGAGCATCCAACCTATGTTTGAAGCTATTCAGCGTATTCGAGTTAATGATGATATTTGGTAACTTGTTCCATTCATCCACTACTCTGTTTCCGAACCAGTGTTTACCTATTTCACGCCTAAATCTAAATTTGTCTAATTTAAAACCATTGTTACGAGTTCGCTCCTGGTTGGATAGTTTGAGTACCTTTGTAATGTCCCCTTTGTTTAGCCCTGCCTTCCACTTATACACCTCTATCAGGTCGCCCCTCGCTCTACGTCTCTCGAGGGAGTGCAAATTAAGATGCTTTAACCTGTCTCTATGCTCAAGGTTCCTAATGCCCGGGATTAGTCTTGTCATTCTCCTCTGAATTCTTTCCAAGGATTCTATATCCATTCTGTAATACGGTGACCAGAACTGAACTGCGTAATCCAGGTGTGGTCTCACAAGAGCAAGATACAGTTTTAGGATGACCTCGCTAGTCTTGTAACTAACACTCCTTTGTATGAACCCAAGTACTTTATTTGCCTTGTTACGAGCAAAAACACATTGTTTACTTGGCTTAAGGTTCCTACTTATCATGACTCCTAAATCTCTCTCGCAGTCGAATTTCTCTATGGCATCGTTGTTAATCTGATATCTGGTTTCCCTGTTTACATCTCCTATACTGAGTACTTTGCATTTGTCCACGTTGAATTTCATCTGCCATTTTACAGACCATTCGAAAAATTTTTTTAGATCTTCCTGTAGTTTTGCTGAGTCCTCGTCAGATTTAATAACACGTTTTATTTTAGTGTCATCAGCAAATTTACTTATGTTGCTGTCTATGCCGATATCTATGTCGTTTATGTATATAATAAATAATAATGGTCCAAGTACTGAGCCTTGGGGAACTCCACTTGTGACGTTGCTCCAATGGGACTTAGTGCCGTTAATGCTCACTCGCTGTTTCCTGTCCTGTAACCACGCCCTAATCCATTTAAGGATGTTACCTTTGATGCCATGAGCTTCTACCTTTCTAATTAGTCTTTCGTGGGGGACTCTGTCGAAGGCTTTGCTAAAGTCGAGATATACCACATCATAATTGTGCCCCTCGTCCACCTATTCGAAAACTGATGAAAAGAATGTTAATAGATTAGTTAGACAAGAACGTCCGCTTGTGAAGCCATGCTGGGAATCATTGATCAATCCGTGCTTCTCCAGGTGATTTCGAATAGAGTTTGAAATGATTGCTTCCAGTAATTTGCCTACTATTGATGTTAGACTGATTGGGCGGTAGTTAGAGGATAGTGATCTATCCCCCTTCTTGAAAATCGGTATTACATTCGCTATCCTCCAGGATTCTGGTACTACACCTGTTTTTAAGGACATGTTAAACAACTTAGCTAAGGGCATACTAAGCTCTTCCTTACATTCCTTTAATACTCTGGTAAATATCTCATCGGGACCAGGTGACTTATTAGGCTTTAGTTTGTCTATTTGCTTACTAACATCGTTACTAGTCACTACTATCTCGCTTAATTTGTTTTCTTCACTATCTCTGAATAGAGTCGGTGCCTCGGGTATCATGTTTAAATTTTCGTTGGTGAAAACTGTTGAAAAATATTTATTCAAATTATTGCTCATTTCTCCGTCGTTATCAGTGAGCTCACCGGTATCTGACCGTATTGGTCCAATCTTTTCTCGTGTATTAGTTTGATACATTTGGTAGAATCCTTTGGGGTTTGTCTTCGCCTCCCTTGCTATCCTTACCTCATTATTCCTCTTGGCTTTCCTTATCTCGGTTTTAACCCTACTCGCCAATATCTTATAATAATCCTGGAGGTAAATTTCGCCACGCTTTATCCTTCTACCTACAGCCTTCCTTTGGCCAATGATGTTCTTTAAATAATTATTTGTTTAAATAATTATATGTTATTTTAGTTATTAACTAATATCACGCGTACTGTTTAGGTTTACTACATGTTTACAGATGTCCTGATCAAACCAAGGATTTCGTATTAAGAAGATTAATCCAAAAAATCGTCATACAAATTTACAATTAGTTTGGTATGTATATAAACAATGCATGTATACAGCCAGCAAGTGTAAAGACACTGCAGGTTTGGTGTACGTATATAGGTAAGGCAGGTACAAGGTTTTTATGTATACAACAAAATAAACAATAAGGCAAGTCGCGTAAACGACCAGTAGAGCGAATCAAGAAAAGACAAGGCAAGTTGACCAAAGATGGTCGACAAAGCCACTTATTTCCAGAGAATCTGTAGTGGATTTCTCCACTACAAACGCTGTTTGTCGCTGAGTAGCCGACCCCGCAAATTCCACAGTGTATGCCTCGTGGTCTGGGTCAACCAGCGCTGCCCACGGAGCGGGGGTCAACTATCTACCCACGCCTACCTCCGCTATAAAAGACCTGACCTCGTGGTGACCTCTCTCTTTTCTACCTACACCAACCAGCAAGCAACACCTCCTTCAGATCACTTCAGTAATATATATATATATATATATATATATATATATATATATATATATATATATATATATATATATATATATATATATATATATATATATATATATATATATATATATATATATATATATATATATATATATATATATATATATATATATATATATATACACTGTATTCGTCCTGCATGGCATATTGGGCCTCTTGGCGAGCTTAAAGTTGTGTATCATCCTCACGGAAATTATGGAATCTATTCTCCATACCACTTTTATGATTTAGCTGCTAAAGCACACCCTTTAATTAAGGACGGATTCAGGAATATCAAAAGGGAGGGGGGTTCAAGAAGTTGTGGGTATGGAAGCATGGCAGGGCAATGTATTGGGCCCATTGTTGTTCACTTCATGAATTACATGCCTGAAGCTATACACTCCTCCATATAAAGGTATGCGGACGTTGCCAGGTTATTTAGGGAAATTAAGAACCAAGCAGACTGTGAAGAGCTACAGAAAGATCTCTATGAACTTCAAGAATGGTCGAAGAAATGGCTGCTAAAATTCAACGTCACGAAGTGCTAAGCAGCTAAAGGATACACCTGGGTCGCACCAACCGTAAGTAGGCGTATCCAAGGTAGGTAGATACCTACCTTGGGCGTATCAACATGACGAAGAGACTGCATTAATTGAGAGCAAATGTGAAAAGGACCTGGGTGTGTATGTCGACACTACGCTGAATATCATAACTAGTAAAGTGACCCATTTGATCGAGGGGATCCCTACACATGAACCATTCGGCGTTAAACAAAGTTAAGAAGAAAACCCAAAAATTCAAGACGTGGGTTGGGTCAAATGATGAGCAGGACAGGAGGATGTATGCAAGAGCCAGAAACCAAGCAAAGATAGAATGTAGAAGGGCTGAAAAGGAGTTCCAGAGGCTGGTTGCAAGCGAGGTCAAGTCGAAATTAAAAACGCGAGTAAGAGTATCAGACCTGAGGCTTGAAGATGGTAGTTATGCAGATTCTGACCAGGATAAAGCCGAGGCATTGGACAGCTTCTTTTCCTCGGTGTTCACAAAAGAAGATACGATTAACCTTCCTGCGTTTGAGGACAGACGGTTCGACACAGCACTGACCCACATTGTGTTCACAGAAGAGGGTATTAGAAATAAACTGTTAAAGCTAAAGGTCCATAAGAGTCCCGGCCCTGACATGGTGCATCCTTGAGTGCTAA